TTATTGTCCTCTACATGGTGTGGAGGATTGATAAATATTTGTTGAATGAACGAATCAGATGATAGTAGTGGTCTTGGCTGCTGGAAGGATCAGTAAGCAATGAGGGACAGGGAAAACCAAAACAAGAACTGAAAGGAAAAAGTTCAGAGAGCCCAAATTTTATGACAGTTTTGGTTCATTGTCTGTAATCTTGTATTTACTTGAAAACCCAAGCAGATGAGCCTACTTCTGCTCATTGGCTTGCTCTAGACCCCTCACAGCCTACCCAGAGACAATTCCACAGAAGGCCAATCAAGGTTTTTCTGTGTCCACTTAGACTCTAAGCAGCTGCCCAGCTTTAATTAATATTCCACAGTCGTATCTGGAGAGGAGCCAGTTGCTGAGACAGCGTCTAAGTGAAAGGAAGACTTAACTTTTCTTGTATTAGCTGGATCTGTTAGGGTAGAGTCAAAAGGGTCAGGTGTTGGGAACTACTGTCTTTGCAAGCTCACTCAGCCTGAGGTTCCTGCCTAACTGTTCCCGTGCCCATCTTCTCTGCTGAAATTCATCTTGGAAGGAGATGCTAGGTTTGACACTTGCAGATTTGGTCTTAAACTCTAAAGCAATGGCAGTATGTTACTCAGAGTCTCCTACAAAGCGACAGGAACCATGGTATTGATTGTTACAGCGTAAAACGCCACAAGTCATTTAAGCTGATCGTCAAGTAATGACAATAAGGATTCAAATGGGGGGCTTACTCTTTGATCCACCAGGAGTTTCAGATGGCAATTATCATTATTTCTTGGATTCCCTCAGTCCTGATAGAAAATCAAGGCAACCAGAAACTATCATTTTGTGAACAGATAGCTATTAAAAGCACATTAATAATCTGTGGTGGGTACAGCATATGCCTTTTTAAAAGATTTGCAGCTTGTTTCTCTGTGGTAAAGACACAGGACTTCTCCAACCTAATTACAAAGCAATCAAACAATTTAATTAATCTGGAAATCACTTTCTAAACCATAACTGCCTTGAAAATGAGGCACCCTGTGCAGAGCCATGAGGTAAAGTCCCATTTTGTTATATTGCTTGTGTAATGGTTGTGCTAGTCCTCCCCCCACCCCACCCCCGGGACCCTAGCATTAATTACCTACCAAATGCCTGACCACTGCTAAGGTTTGCTTTACCAGGTCAAAAACATCAGCAGTGATAACAGCGGTCTATGAAGTGTCCTAGCACTCAAAGGTCCAAGAGCCAGCAAATCCCTGGGAGCAGCAGGATTTGAGTTATAAGCAAGGACTGCACATATGGGCAGAGAATTAACTGGCACCGGTTTTCATTGGAAAGTCTCTCAGGTATTGCTTTGCAGATGGGTGGATGAATTCAGAGAGCAGTGCTGTGAGGAGTGAAGGTCATGTATAGGACTCTGGTTTCAGTCCGTCTTGCTTTCTCATCCTGGAGGCTTGCTGGGCATGTCCACAGCAGCCTGGCCCTCATTTCTTAAGAATACATATATAAGGTGTGCTTTTTAATTTAATCTGTTCTAAATGAATGGTATTTTCTTCACTGTATAATAAAAGTATGTCTCTCAGGCCTCAGAGACTGAGTAGGTAACATAGATATCAATTTTTCTTTCAAATAAGATCACAGACTTCAAAGATTGACTCCCAGAACTGCCTGGGTGTCTTAGGTGGTTAAGTGTCTGACTCTTGATTTCTGCTCAGGTCATGATCTCAAGGGTCCTGGGTCCTGCTGGACGTAGAGCCTGCTTAAGATTCTCTCTCTCTCTTTTCTCTCTCTCTCTTTCTCTCTCTCTCGCTCGCTCGCTGTTGCTCTCACTCTCCCTCTGTCCCATCCTCTCTAAAATCAAAACACAACAAAAACAGAAACGAAGATTAACTCCCACCCATCTAATCTCCTAATCTTTTTACCTCTCCCTAAGAAATATGGAGGAATATTCTATAATAACACAAAAATCTACAGACTCATCCAAATTTTTCCTGTCTTATCACAATCACTCCACTTCTCTCTCAAAATTTCCAAATGTTGGTCGCTTGTAACCTGGAATATTTTCATCACTTCATTTCTACTGCATCACTAATTATGCTTGGTTTGCTCACAAAGATGTTTTTTCTGTTGGCCCTTCATGTCCTAATCTACGCTCCTAAACTTCCCTTCTTTGGCCACTCATCTGTCCACCCAACACATTCATGCCAGATTAAAATCTCTAGCATCTTTCTCTTGCCTGCTGATGTCTCGTAAGGCCCTCCCCTGGTTAATACCAGTAAATATAGTTCACAGCTCATTGGCTATACCAGTCTGAATCTTCTGCTGCCAGAGTATCTATCCCTACTGTATCATCCTGCTCTGTTTGGGGGTTTCTGTCCCCTTCCTGAGGTTCTTCCATTCTTCTGTTGAGCTTGCCCAGCTGTCCTCAGGTTAAGCTATAATCTCTTGTCTGTAATGAATTATCAGGTATTCTAGTTCAGGCCACCACCATTTTCTCTAATATCCCACTCCATTTAAGAACCTTTGTGATAGGCAGGGGTGAAGGGGAGGGGTGTGCATGTGTACGCACATTGACATTTAAACCTGGCTTTAGATCTGCCATGAAACAGGAAGAAAGATCTGTTAGGAACAAGATTATGCAGATGGCCCTATAGTCTTGAAGCTAAAAATGTGGGAATTTGGGTTTGATTTTATAGCAATGTGGGAGTGGATGAGAAACATTTTTAATCGATGGGCTTAGAAAGGTAGCACAAAATGGAGAGGCAAAAACCCAAAGATTAGAAATGGTTAATGGTAGCGTTGGGTTTTTTTTGTTTGTTTGTTTGTTTGGTTTTTGTTTTTTTTTTTTTTTTCATTAAGAGCAGAATTAAATTAACCTACCTCTATATATCTTTGTCTCAGCCTGTTCATCTTCAAAGGGATCAGTTGCCGTGTATTATAAGATGTTACATGGCTTCCTGGGGACCAGTCATTAAAATCTCTAAAAGTGAAAAGGGTTTTAAGTTAACTCCTTGTTTCTCCCTTCTTCAGAGTGTTGAAAATAAGTAGTAAGCTCTCTCTAGTTCTAGTTGATCTCATCATAATCTCCAGATACGGTGTTCACTTTACAGAAGAACCTGGAGCTAAGAATTTGGTGTTAAGTTTCGTGGATCTTATTATTTATTCTCAGTGAATTCGGTAGCAGGAATTACTAAACTGATCATACCTTGGCTTCCAACAATCAATTCTTCTGTTTTTCCTGATAACTTACTGGTAGTTTGCTCTATATGGGATGTGAGCAAAGTGAACACTTTTTCCAAATAAACCAAATCCACACTAAGATTTCTGGCATTAGATTCATCTCCCTTTCAGAAACAAGAATTTTTAGCTATCTTGAATTTTTCAAGATCTTTTAAGGCTACAAAGAGTGATATGTAAGCTAAGATGGGAAAAGGCAGGGTGGTGGGAACGAAGGCTGTTGGGAAAAGTTGATGGAACTTAATTTAGCTGTGTAGATAGATGGACAAAAAGAGTCCTGGATTACTGGATGGCAAAAGCAGAATCAATTTCTCCAGGGGCCCGAGGAACAACAGATGCAAAAACATGATAAATTTCATTACAAAAGAGAGAAAAGTTCTTCTAGATTCTCTGTCCATAAAGAAACAGGCTTTTCAGTGCTTCCTAGTCAAATGGCTTTAATTGTGCTGTCTATCATAAAGTTAATGGCATCTTTTGACAGCATCTCTATAAAATTTGCAACCTTAAGTTAATCGAAAAATTTCAGTACAGATGTAACCAGCCCAGAAGTCCTCAAGGTAACACTAAACGTATCTCCTTAATGGGTTGGTCTCTTCTTATTTGTACGCAGGTGATGCATTGTTTGCAGCTAGGTACTGCATTCTTGTATTCCTCACACCTTACCACACACCTTACCACAGTTGTCACTTCCGTTTCTGAAATCAGTAATGTGGGAACTGGCTGGCTGGTAGGGTTTAAACACAGCTTCCTGATTTATTCTCCATGTTTCAAGACAGTCTAAGGCTAGCCTGCAACCTTTCCTCACCTCCTTCTTTAAACCAGCTACATAAAGTTCCCTCCGGTCGTCAGATAATTCTGCCAATCTAATTAAACATGCAGAGGGAAGCCGGGTGGTCTAGGCTGTCCTGAGCTGCCCCTCACCAGCTGCCTACCACGCATTCTCAATGACCAGCAGCAGGTTGGGTGTTCTGATGGAGGAAGTAACAAGCCCCCAAGGAGCTGTGCTCTTTGCAGCGAGCGGTCTGTGCTCACCCGCCTCCGTGGGATGCAAGGAAAACACTCTCTGAGAAAAAAAGCCTTTGTGGGGTGGTGGCTTTGAACGTCTGCCTGGCCAATCACAACCCAGATGCTTCGAACCGGGGTGGGGGGGAGGTGTTGAAGAAAATAGTGTTAGGGGCTAGATCTGGGTCATTGGAGAAATAGGTCCTAATGACTGGGTTCTTCCCAGTATTTTATGATGCATACTGACATTTCCGCTTTTAAAAAACATGGATTCTGGAATACAAGGATTTATTTTTGAGAACTCAGACATGTACTTGGTTTCCATAAATAAAAAAATCCTGAGGCTGCTTCCCAAAATAGAAAGCCCCACCCCCACCACCAGGTGAAGCATAGACCTCCACAACTATCCTGTCACTTCAAATGTTAACATCTGGAAGACTGAGAAGCAAGATATTTATATATACATTATTCTTTAGGACTGAAATGTTTAGGTTATTAATCCCTGGGAGACTGCTGCTTGGTGATGGATGGATGTGCTTATTCATATATCTTGCAACCTCAGAACACTGTGCTGGGACTCAAGCCCGTTCCCTCACTCTCCCTCCCCGCCACTCCCAGCCCCCGCTCCGAGGAAAACTGAAGCATTTTTGAAGAGATGAATGTGGGATGAGAATGTACAGAAACGCATTACTAGAAAGAAGACGATCCTGGATGTGGATAATGTTACAAAAATAAAATCATGTTATGATTTTTTTCCCTCTTTCTCTTTACAGGAAACAGCCCTCAAGATAGTCCAAGAAATTTCTCCCCCAGTGCCTCAGCCCATTTCTCATTTGCACGGAGGTAAGGACTTTCTGTGGGCCAAATAGTCAAGTGTTATGTCGAGAATCGTGTCTCCTGAATCCCCTCTTCCTCATGCCCGCCTGTTCCCCTGCCTTCTGCCTATGAGATCCCGCGTATTAATATATGGCCTCTGAAGCTCCCTGCCCAAAGATAGCTTCAGACTGCCACCCAACTTTGTTGAAAACACTCGTGCTTTAACAGTTTAATAATGATTTCTGACTCAGGTTAGAGTTCCATGTACCTCTCTTGGTCCTTCCCTAGATGCTGGGCTCCCAGTGAGGGCGAGAGATGATGGTTTCCTTTTTTCTCTCTTAACATGTGAGACTCTCACATATTGTTATTTTGTATATTTAGTCCAACAGGGAAGAGATTGCCCTGTTTTTAAAATTATTCTTGAATAAAGGGATAAAGATCAGGCTTATTAATGTTTTCTTATCTTACTTATACCATTATGTGTGTGTGTGTGTGTGTGTGTGTGTGTGTGTGTGTGTACAAGCATTGCCTTGTACATGCTTGAGGTTCAGCAGATTTTTACGGAACTATCCGAGCTTATGTTACAAGGACTTGACTCATCTCTGTGTCCTGATGCAACTGTTATTGTTGTTATTGAAATACTTTTTTTTTTTTTAAATGACCTTCTTGAGATCAGAGGGTATGAACTCTAAGATGCGTCTTTACTTGAGAGCATGAAGCCACCAATTTGTGATCCCTTTGAGATAAAGCCACGCATGGACTATAGGATAGTTTATGTTTTCTGTTCATAGCTTAGTTAGAATTTGATACCAAGTGCTGAAGATACATGTGTTCTATCTGGGTCATTGAGCCACAAGGAAGTCTTGTTGTGAATTAGGAGGATCATAGGCCTGTGCCATAACGTGAAATCTTGTAGGTTCTGGATCTTCTTCTGTGACTTCTCCAAGTGAGAGGAGTCTACACAGCCACATTTTCTGTGTTCTATATGTGGGATCAGTGTACATCTCCCTGTCTGATTCCAACCTTCACCCTCCTGGGTTCTGTCACCCCTCTCATACACCCTGGCCCCTCCTGCTCTGGGAAAAACAGAAAACAACCGACCTTCAGCCAGGTTGCTGAATATTCAGGGTAAATTCATTTATGGTTGACATGTCCAGCATACTTGCTCATTTTCCTCAGACACCTAACTATATCAGGAAGTGGATTAACATAGCACTTAATAAAGACATATGTGTAGGTTAAAAAAAAAAAATAGATTTGTTTTAACACGTGTTCCTGACCAGCGAAACCTGCAGTGTCCCCACTGCCGTTTGTCAGCACATAACGTACTTACATTACTACATCCAAAGAAGAGGACCTGTTGGCACTATTTCCCAAATTCTCTGTAACTGATATCCCTTGTAAGTATTACACATCCCCCACCATATGGCAGGTGCCTGTGTGTGGAAAGTACCTATTCTCCATCATGGGCAGGACACCAGAACCATAAGACAGGCTCTCTAAGGAGCTTGAGACCCCCCACCCCTGACTTTTTCCCCAGTTCAACTTCTCTTCTTTTAGGAACTTGTTCTAAGCACTATAAAAAAAAGGTGAAAATTACTGGTCCCACAAAGCCTATGTTCACCCAGTAGATACTAATTCATGATAGTGCTACTCATCTAAGTGGAAATGAAAATCTTACAAAAATGGATGAACAAGAACCCACCATAGTCTTTAAAACACACCTCTTAAAAGAATGTGTTTAATTACTTTAAGTAATAAGAAAAATGCAAATTCCATTATAGTGTGCATTTAAACATGACAGAAATCATAGTCTCTTAATCCTGCCAGATTTACAAAAATGAAGAGAATCTGATAATTAAGTGGGTGACTGGAGGATAGATGAATCTCGTTTCCCTGCTATTTAAAAAGGTACACAACCCCCAGGCATGTTAATTTTTGACAAATAAACCATAAACCATGACAGAAGATTATCACAGGAGACCTGTAGTTCATTTTGCATGAATTTCCAGATGGAACTCCCTCCACACTCTTCAAAAAATATTAATTTAGATTGGGGCATGAGTGATCATCTTTTTAAACTTTTATTCAAGTAAACAGAACCCTGCATTTGCTATAAAAACTAAAATTGATGTGTTTTTATTTAACATCTGGTATCTCTCTCCTCCTTTCTAAAGTTCATTTTTATTCAGGAAACATGGAAAGACCACTCATGGGTCTCCATTCCATTCCATTCCGGTGTGCATTTTTGAGACTTTAAGAAGTAATATCATTCTGAGACTCTCACATGTTTTTATTTTGTATATTTAGTCCAACAGAGAAGAGATTGCCCTGTTTTTAAAATTATTCTTGAGTGAAAGGATAAAGATCAGGCTTATTAATGTTTTCTTATCTTACTTATACCATTATGTGTGGGGTGTGTATGTGTATAAACATATACCTTACATATACCAGTATGTGATAATACGCCCCCCACTAGACATCCCCTGTAATGGAATAGTTTAATTTCAGACTGGAAAATAGGATGGCACTCACTTGCTATCTAATACATCCATAAGAGTAAAATTATCAAGCTAATTTTTTACTAATGAGTTAAAAAGGATGAAAATGAGCATTATAGCATAATAAGTTTCATCAGGAGCAAAGAAGCATATTTTTACTTTCCTAAGAACTGTGATACAGATTTACAGTCTGATAACAGAATTAACATTTTTTTCTTTGGCTTAAGATGGAGGCAATAACATTGTACTGCCATTCCCAAAAGTTGATGGAGTTGACCCATTACATACTGCTTTTACTTACATTGGAAACACAGAGCCCTGACTGCATGCCATGGGTGTTTCCTAGTGCCTCATTGTTCCTTACCAGGGTAAATCTCAGAATATATTTCCACAAGCAAATTACTAGAACAGACTTAGCTGCTGAGTTCAGGTCACTGGACACTGGTTGAGCACCTGGCATAGTTCAACTTGTTCCAGTATCAATCAGAATATAAAAGACGTCATGCCAGGTGACTGTTACAACTAAACAAATCAATCTTCTTCCTCTTTCTACAATTATAAGATCCAGGTTGATACTGGGACTCTCCACTTTTTCTTTGTTATATACAGTATTAATATAATATTTTTCAGTAGTGTTGAAATGATGTTTTTTGCAAAGTCTTTTGTATTCTGTGTTCCCATCAGATGTTTTTCTCTTCGTTCCTTCTCACTTAGTTTAACACTGAGAGATTTCCACCCCATCCCACCCCCCAAAAAAAATCAATTCAGAAAAGCCTTATTGCTTTGGCTGCAATGTAGTCTGTCTTCCAGTAATATTTTATTGGTAGCTTCTGCAAAGAAAAGACAACATTGTTAGCAGGATCTAAATTGCACTTGTGTGATAGCTTTCTTGGGAAAAAAAGGGCATGCTCTCTCTTAAGTACAGTATATAGCATGTATAATAACTTCTGATATGCGGTCGTCATGGTAATGAAAATGCAATGGTCCTTTGTGCTCCATTTGAGTAAATAGACACCAAGAACTTGGGGAACTTCATGAGACATAAATTATTTCTGGTCCATGGCTGCACTTTCTTGTTTAAACATCTTTTAGTTGGGTGTTTTCCAGAGTAAGCAAATGTAATTTATGTTTCAAAACTAACTAAGAATGTGTCTTTCCTTGGAATTGTTCATTCATGTGAAATATATTCATTGATACCTGAGGGAAAGGAGAATTAATGAATCACAAAACAAAGTCACGATGGGGGAAATCGTGCCTGCGTTCTTTCCAGAGACTAGTTTCTGATAATTGCTATTAAATGGACTGAATAATCCTTTTAAAAATCATATCCTCCACCCTTTTTTTTTTTAACTTCTAAAAATTGGAGGTGTTTAAAATGTAAAGTACAGCATGGATTTTTAAGTCTTCAATAAGTAGCCAAATAAAATAAAACTAACCTGTGTCCAGTTAATTGATGTCTTTAGAAACATGTTCTTATGATTATTTTATCCATAAATCTTTAACATTTTTAATTGTTTAAAAATATTTTTAAAGAACATATGACTTAATTGTTCCCGTTCCTTATGACTGGCATATTTACATATATTTTGTTTTGCTTCTTTTTTTAAAAAACAAACTTGATCCAATTGTACTCCAATCATGGTCACAGAAATGACAGGTAAATTTTACTCAAATTTTAACATTGTAGTATTTCTGTGATTTGTCCACTTGAATTTCTCCATTTTGTCTTTGTGGACCATTTGCATTTATTGGAGGCAACATCCAAGGTAGCCTGTGATTATATTTTCCTTTGACTGTAATTTAGTCTCAAATATCAGGTTTTTTACATAAACATCTAATTGTGACATTTCTCAAATTCAAGTCTAATGCTGTTGAATCCCCTGACCTCAACTTCCTATGAATGTATCTGTGGTAAATTTGGCCCCCTCTTGTCTCTCGCATAGTAAGTGAGTACAGTCGTAAATTATAAGAAGTCTATATAGGATAGACTACATCTAAATAATGCAGTATAGGCCTTTATGATGTGTGTTTTTCCTGTTTTTCCCTTGGCAAATACACATCTATTTGTTTTCACAGGGGTATATGATGTTGAAATCACAGTCTTACTTAAAACAGGATAAATAATAATGACTCTGGAACACCCAAGGGTTCAGAAAGTTTGCTTTCTGGTCCCTGCAACAGTATTGTCTCTATTATTTCATTCAATCATCTGAGACCCTTTTAAAGACCCTAACTCATAACCAGAATCTACCCCGGAAGCTACCCTTTGACCATTTGGAGAGAAAATCGCTCTCTTCAAGGACTCCTGACAGTTTTGCCTCTATGACTGGAACAGACACTTGTACTCTTCTCATTAGGTTCTGTGACTAGTAGAAAATTTTCTTTCTGCCCCTGCTGTTCTGGGCCGGAGCGGGGCTACCTACTCACAACTCTGCAAGGGACTTTTGTTGTAACACTTGAAACCAGGTCCTGTCAGAAGATAGTAAGTCTTAGAGATTCTGACCGTAAGGTCAGTCACTATTTTAGTGTGAAAGTTTTTTGCTACTTAAGACTTGAACCAGCCCTGAGCCCCACTAATCCCCTCCCTAGGTGTGAGGTGGAAGACAGTTCCCTTGAAAATAAGTGGAGAGTTTTTAGGATGTTATCGAAGTCCCCACAGGCTCTTAGACCTTGCTGGAATTCAGGCCCTTCCAGAGACCCGTGACCTCAGTGATCAGCCTCCAGACACAAGTTTTTTTTCCTCCTCCCTTTCTGTTTTTATTCATTTGAATCTGCTGAGTCTGACCATTGTAATTATCCCCAGTATTCATTTTGTCAAAGTGTGTTAGTGAGAGATCAATAATATGGATCAACCCATTCACTTTCTACTTGTTTGGCTATATCGATTCAGTTTAAATAAAAGCCAACCTGCTGTATAATGTTTGTTTACTCTGGCCCGTGCTGAACATTTCCACATCTTCACTGACCGTATTTGTATCATTTGTTTGATACAAATGCTCGGTTTCCCTGGGGCCCCCCTGTAACAGTGCTCCAGTGTTGGCCAAAGTTAATCTCCCTCTCTCAATAGGACTGATGGACGCCGCTGGTCCTTGGCTTCTCTCCCCTCCTCTGGCTATGGGACAAACACGCCCAGCTCCACAGTCTCTGTAAGTACTGAATTGTTCTCCTCTTCCTCACAATCACACGGCTCCCTGGCATAGCACGTGTTTTCTCTGGGTGTTTCCTGGTAGGAAGGAGGAGATAAATTTGGCATGTCTGTCACTCTGAATAGGTTCCTCATCACATGAGGAGCTGACAGATGTAAAAAGGACATACTCTTTGCTGCAAGCTTTTAAACTATGTATGGTACATAAATTGAGTTAAGTCCCAGGATCACAAGTTTGGAGGAGATTGGGAGCTTTTGTTTTAATACCATTTGTTGTAGTTCGGGGGGGGGGTGGAGGGGGGAAATGCAATCTGGTTTTATTGCTTTGGTTCCACACCAGTGATATCAGTACTGAAAACGCCATTAAACTTTGATGGCCCGGGTCTTTTTTTTCCTCTTGTGTGGCTTAGATGCAGGGATTTTTTGTTTGTTTTTGCTGTTTTGTTTCTTTGTTTTTTTCCTTCAAATTAAAAAAAAAATGTCAAGCCTTAAATCTGTACCTCCTAGGTAAGACATTTTTTTTAAGGAGAGATTAAAAGAATTTCGTAGTAAGTTAAGACAAAGAGACAAAATGAAGCCATGGAAGTAGGATAAAGAAAGAAGGATGCTCTTGCCCCAAACTGTAACATTTCAACAGGAGCTCTACCAACGAATGGAAACAATTCAGTAAGTTTAGATAGATGCTTTCTCAGTTTAAATTAGTGGTGTTGTGGGGTATCTGTCTCTGCAGAGCTTTGGAAGCTGGAGGTCATTTAGAAACCCCAGGTCTGTTGTAGGCGTTCAATACATACCTAATGGAATGGCCCGAATGCCCTTGGACAAACCAGAAATGTGGACCTGATGATTTTAGATTTCCTTTTGGTCTGTTTCCATCTTCATTTTGTGAAAGTCTGTGGTTTATTGCGTAGGGTTATTCATCCATTGTTCCACTGGGCTGGTGCTGCTGGTTTTTCACAGGCCTTAGCTCTGTGCTAAGCACGCACATTCAGCACGTACTTATATGGAAAAGACATTACAACTGGGGCGCCTGGACGGCCCTGTAGGTTAAGCGTCCAACTCTTGATTTCGGCTCAGGTCAAGATCTCAGGATCTCAGGGTTGTGGGATCGAGCCCCACAGCAGGCTCCTCACTCAGCAGGGAATCTGCTGGAGATTCTCTTTCTCCTCCCACCCACTCCACCCCCACCCCCGCTACCTTGCTCCCTCTCTCTCAAATAAATGCTTTTTTAAAAAAAGAAAGGACATTATCATTGTTTATAAACTAACTGGTATCATTGCTGCCTTACATTATGTGTTTCCAGAATTCCAGATGCAATATAATGTGAATTTTCTGGAGCACTTTAATACTGCCTTGTTAAAATTCATTGGATTATTTTTTACCATCTCTCTGGTATTTTATTGAGGAGAGGTAATTTATTTTCATATCTTCTGTTCCATTTAGTTTAGTATGTGAATTTATTGTCCAATTCGATAATTTTGGTGAAGCGTCCTGACAGCCTTGAGTCATTTCAATGATGCAGAAACCTTGCACCTGGAGAGGATGCTTCAGACTCATGGATGGTTTCAGTGGATAAAACTGTCACTAAAAAATAGTGACGCCACCCTGGGCTGCTGTGTCCAGAGTCATTACTGGTCATTTGTTGATTTTAGATGTTGAAAATGTGGGTAACTCCAGTGTGAAAATGGATACTAAAACTAAATGAAAAGAAAAGCAAGGGTAAATTTCTGAAAGTTAAGTTTCTACAGACTTTCAGAGAAGTCTGTAGGAAGTTAATTTTCTACAGACTTTCAGAGAAGTCTCTTGTCTCCAGATTCTTGTTCATTTCAGCTCTATGACCTCGCTTCGCCCTTTAGTCAAATTTTAGTGTCGTATATATACAGTAATTTGACTGTTGCAAGAAAAATAGGGGAGAGTACAAGATCTTTCCATCTGTAACTATTAAATCATACACCACTTTAAAAAGCCAGTCTCTCATATGGTACAATCAGACCTCATTTGGTACAAATAATTTTAAAAGCCAGTATAGAAATATTTATTATGTGCTGGACATTAGCCTGACTACTTCCAGTGTGACATAGTAGTCTTGTTTAATCCCAGCAACACACTGTGTTGTACAATTGCTACCGTTCTCTTCCTTTTATTTATCAGAAATGTAAGACACAGGGAATGACACACTGAGGGGCTTTGACCAACCCCTTCCTTTCTCGAAGATACAGTCAGGTCTAGACTCCAGGCTCTTGGCTCTTTTTAAGGAATTTACATGGTATTTCTTAAAATAAATATGTTAATTAATAAACATGACCTGGCCCTCTGGGACAATGAATTATCACCATCCTTGACTTCCATATATGTCTAAGGAAGAAGCCCCATGAGACCGCATTTAGTCACACACGCACACACATTTGCTGTGTTTCTGACAGCTGCTGACCAGCGTTAAGATAGCTTTTAGGTTTTCTCTTAAATGTTTATTAAAGAAGATGGTACATACAATTGTTGACCTCATGTTCCTACTATTTCCTTCAAAATAAAATTTTCTTTCAAGATTTTATTTATTTATCTGACAGGAGGAGAGAGAGAAGGAGAGCACAGGCAAGCAGAGTGGCAGGCAGAAGCTGACTCCCCACCGAGCAGGGAGCCAATGCAGGGCTCCGTCCAGGACACTGGGATCATGACGGGAGCTAAAGGCAGACACTTAACCAACTGAGCCATCCAGGCGCCTCTAAAATTTTAGCTTTCAAATTACTTTGTGTCAAAAGATGCACAGAACTGTTAAGTGTGTGAAGTGTAGGTGCTCCATATATAAAAAGTTCAGTTAACTAGTCTCCCTATTGATTGTTGATAAATATAAGGAGTGAAAATTTGAAAAGCTACTTTTCATTTCTCTCAGGGTTTTTGGGTTCTTGTCCTTTACATAGTGGGGCAAAATTTGCCCAAAACTGCTTAGTAGTTACATTTTCTTCTTTTCTTTCTTTTTTAAAAGGATATACTATATTTTATTTTTAAGTTCATCACTATGTCCACTGTGGAGCTTGAACTTATGACCCTGAAATCAAGAGTCACATGTTCCACTGACTAAGCCAGCCAGACTCCCCTCTTTTTCTTCTTTTCTAAATCTTATCTGAGGCACTCTCCGGTTTTCATTTTGTGGGTTAACTGTTAGTCATGAGGCCAATCAAAATGCATTTTAGTTATTTTTTAAAAGTAAACATACAGAACACAAAATTACAAACACTTGGAACATACAACTTAAGTTTGGCAGGTAATTGTGTTGTTTGCTGAATTCCAGCGCTACTACTATTGAAATGTAAACATCACATCTTTATCCTTTGGATATATGGCAACTGTACCATTGGCAAGTGTTAAAAATGCTGTATTCTAACATTGAAAAGATTCGGTCATGGGAAGTTAATCAGTCCCTCCAGAAAATATTTGGTTTTGCAACTTCTTTCAACTCCAGATTTTTCCATTAAAATTAATAAGTGGGGAACTTTTCCAAGATAATATTGCGGTCATAATTTTTAATTTCAAAATAAGTAATACAGAACTGCAGTAGGAGGAGGTCATTCCCCCATATTTCTTAACAGATTAATTATTTTCTGCTGAGGAAATGGAAATAAGAATATAAATACCTATACATATGTGAGGTATGACTATAAAATGATACTACATTTAATAAGAAGTAGGAAATTATGCATTCATATGAGTATTGTCTGTTGCAAAATGGTTATCTGGAGAGATTAAATGATATCAATATTCAGAACAGTTTTGGGAAAGTCTTGTACAGCTTTTTTATGTAACTCTCTATTCTGTGAATGTGGGTTTGATTTATGATGCTATCAAAAGTCATGTGCAGACCAGTTGGGTGAGGAGACCTGACACCACACATAGAGAATATGCTAGAAGTGTAAAGTAATCAGACACAGTTTATCGGAAACTCCCAGACCAATTACTGAAGCTCTCCTCCAAGTGGGACTCCCAGGATGCCTTGACCAGTGGAGGTGGTTGGAAGTATGATGTGCGGTCTTGGGGCAAGCCTGCACCTCTGCTGTCTTGTCCTTCTCGCTGGCTTCGAAAGTTCTCCACTGAATGAGTCCCTGATCTTTGCTAAAACCTAACCTTGGATTTTTCGATTGTCCAATATCATTTCCCTTTTGGGGCCCCATTTTCCTGGCCTGCAGTGGTCCCCAATGCCATGAACCCATCCTTTGTCCCTTGAATAGGTTATCACCCTCCTCCCATTTGTACCTTGCTTGTTCCAACTGAGATGAAGGAGGCTCTCTCCCCAGAGGAGTCCTTGCCTCCTCTCTTCTTTACTAGTGCTAAGGTTGGAACGTTTAACACCACTGCATCATTCATTTTGCCTTATTCCCTATCACTAAACCTGGGGCACATTCCTTAGGCAGTTTTGTTCTGTGGCTGCATATATGGTAGAACCACAGAATTTTCCACACTTGCTAACATTTTGTTACATTTGCTAGGGCTGTTTTTTAAAATAAATTGTTATTTTGTTTAATAAATGTTAAAGGTTCAAGTAAAACACTGCCCCCACCCCAGTACCTTTCTGCTCCTTCCCTCCAGAGAGGGAACTTACCCTTCAAAGTCGCTTGCTGTCATTTCCATGTCACTGCAGGCCTCTGATACTTTATGTGAAATTCTAGAGCCCAGTGTGTTTGGGAATTAATTTTCATATTTTAGAAAGGTAACGGGATCCCTGTACTTTCCCTGACAGCCCAGCAGCACCTGGGCCAGCGGCTCACAATCAAATATATCAATATTTCTATAGAAGCCTGAATCAACATTCCCACTAAGTGGATTGAATGCATATTTTAAATAGCTTTCCATGAGCTCAGTTGATGCTGGGCCATCGGAAGGGATTCCTGTAGTCTTAAGAATAAACTTCAGGGTTTTAGGGTTTTGCAGTCCTGGATACAGAACTGTGGACATTGATTTTCCTCTGAGATCTATGTACAGATTCTTACTTACATTTTTTTATTAGCTAATTTCCTTATCTTCACTTTGATCATTAAGGCTTCTCTCCTGCTTACGGTGATTTTATTATTCTTTTCCTGATTGCTTGAGTTGACTTAGATTGTGTTTTATTTGTTGTTTTTTTTTTCCCCAGCAAAAAGTGTTTAAGGCTGTGCTTATACTCTTCTGAATAGAGATTTGGTTTAACTCATAAGTTTTTCCAGTAGCGTTTTCATTTTTATGGCTTATAAAACAATCTCATTACATTACAAAAATTCCTCTTTGTCTCTGTATGGACTTATAAGGTGTTTTATAATTTCAAGGTATGAGGGTATTTTTAAGCTTTAGTCATTAATTTCTAGTGTTACTGCATTGTGATGCTTCAGTGTTTATGAAGTGCATTTATTGTTAAACTAATGACAGCTTTAAAAAAAACTTAAAACTGAGATTTCGGATGAGTGTTAACTTTACAAATTTGCTTATTCTAATCATGTTTCTCTTGCTCAAAAATTTCTCAGTCTCTTTTGTTAGAATTGCTTATAGAGTTTACCTCCCAGTGAAAACAAAAAGAAAAGTCTGTTTGCTTTATAGTTCTATTTCTCAGATTGATTAAAAACAGTGTTATTTAATTACTCTCTTTTTCTATGTTACCTTTCTCTAAGTATGAAGTGACAGTTTTCAGAAAGCAAATCTATATGCAAGAAATTTAAAAAACCACCACTGCAGCTGCTTTAACAAAGGAAAAGAGGGGAGGGGATATATGCTATGGTGAGTGCTGTGAATTGTGGAAGACTGATGAATCACAGACCTGTACTTCTGAAGCAAATAATACATTATATGTTAATAAAAAGAGAAAGAGAGAGAGTGAGAGAGAGAGAGAGAGAGAGAAAAGAGGGAGTCTTAGCCAAAGGAAAAAAGGAAGAAAAAAAATTCCAAATTTTAAAATAATGGCATTAGTGAGAAAAATATCTTCATCTCTTCACCTTTTCACCCAAGGCACATATCAATGTATCGACAGCATGCCTTGTAAAGGAAGATCTCATTATGTTATTTATAATCACACATCATAAAAGTCATTTTATGTTACTCACCAGAAAGCCACAGTATTTAATTGTGAGCAGTGTTCCAAGCAAGGGTACCATACTCAGTTGAGAACTAATCTGTCATTTCATGCACCCAGATTATCCAGGTATCACTTTCTTGCCTTGGCTTTGAACAAGTCCTCCCCATTTTCCGAGCCTGGATTTTCTGCAAGAGAGGAAACTATCTTTTGGGAAATGGTCATGTAGACAAATGAGACGAAATATGGAGGGCATTTTGACCTCACAGAGAAAGCAGTAAGGGTATACATTTAGACACTAATTATTATAATTATAATGTGAAAGGGAAACTATAAAATGGTGATGTCACCCAGGTTCACTGCTTTGATTGTGAATTCACTTGAATTTGAATTCACTTTCTCACACGGTCCTCTAACCTCCCTGTGGTTTGTTGTAGTCCTCCTCTTCCTCCCAGGAGAAGCTGCATCAGTTACCCTACCAGCCAACGCCAGATGAATTGCACTTCCTGTCGAAACATTTTTGTACTACCGAAAGCATTGCCACAGAAAACAGATGCAGGAACACGCCTATGCGCCCCCGTTCCCGAAGTCTGAGGTAGGTGGACCTGATTGAAAAGTGTTACTTAATTGGATTATCTGTTTTTAACCATTTCAAGGGAAATCGTCTTTTCCTCTATTTCATCTATGTGTGAATTGATTTGTGCACTACCCCAAATATCGTGTGATTTTTCCAATCTCTACGTGATATTGGTAATTACCACTAAAAGGCATCTTACTGTTTTTCTTTATTTTTTCCTATTTTTTAAAAAATAATATTTATTTTTTTGACAGAGGCACAGCAAGAGGGGAATATAAGCAGGGGGAGTGGGAGAGGGAGAACCAGGATCCCCGCTGAGCAGGGAACCCAATTCGGGTCTAGATCCCAGGACCCTGAGATCATGACCTGAGCCCAAGGCAGATGCTTAATGACTGAGCCACCCAGGCGGCCCTCTGTTTTTCTTTGAATTTCTTTCAATTTGTAAATTGGGAGAGTAGCAATAATCATGATGGACTAAAGAGACCTCCTGTAAAACCTTCTTGCATTGGAAATTTCAAGTCAATCTAACTGTGGTACAGGAGCACTTAGTGTGCTTATTTTAAGATGAGTAAGCTTGGCTAAAAAGGAAGGACAGCAAAAAAAAAAAAAAAAAAGATTTTTCCTTCAGATTCCACATTATAAAAGTTCATCTATATTTTTCATCTTTCTTCCCTTCATGAGTTTTTACTTTTTCCAAGCTTATGAATAAATTATTAGGAATTTATGTCCCTTCAATTTTGACATTGAGTAGGGCCAGAAATATAGAGAGATAGTTTGATGTGTTTTACAGGTTGTTGTTTTGGGGTTTTGTTGTTTTTGGTTTTTTTTTTAGGATGTAGACTCTAAAACAGATTTGTGTTCAGGATGTTCATTAGGGGGTGCTTAGGATTTATCCCATGTGAGGAAGGCCAGCAAGCTGACTTGAGCAGAAAGAACTCTAGGTGCCACACAGCTGACTCCACAGGGAGCTCTGGGTGTGGCATGACCGTCAGAGTTATCCCTCTCTGCCAAATGGCCCTTACTTTTTATGCCTACCTCAGTTGCTGAGTGCGGTACCCTGAGAAGGACTTGGCCTGGGTGAGGTGACTGCAGCTGAGGCCATCTTTGAAGGGACTGATGGCTGATGGCTTCTGTAGTCCCAACTGCTGGGGCAGCAGGTCCTTCTCTGCAGGATGATCAAGGCAGTCCATCTCCACAGTATGAAGCTTGCAGCTGTAGAATTGATATACTTTCCTGTTGAAGATTTTACTGTAAAAATAGTTTGTCAGGTATTCAGTTGAATATCAAAGTTTGCTGATAAGGGTTTTCCCCTTTGTACTTCTTTTTTTTTAAAGTAAACTCTATACTGAACATGAAGCTCAAACTCATGACCCCAAGCCCAAGAGTCTCATGCTCTACTGACTAAGGCAGCCAGGTGCCCCTGGCTGGGATATTATTTAGGATAATAAACTGATAGTTAATGTACCCACATTGAATGATTTGGCAACGTGTTGTTATTTTGAGTTAGGGAATAAAAGTTCAATGTTATGAATTCATTTAGGGACATTGTGTTTTACCAATGGGTGCCCATTTTATGGTTTTATGAAAGGAGTTCCTTGGGTATCTAGTACAGGCTGTATTCTCCCAGAAGGGTAAACACCATCCTCACTGAGGTTGCCCAACTCTGTAACACTAGGAAGAAACATGCTATTGAAAGGAAGAAGAGCACACAACAGTTCCATGCCTCTGTTTCATATTGTACGTAATGCTGACTTCAGCACCCCAGAGAGATCTTTGTGAGGCTAGAAAATGGATTTCAGTGGTGACACCTGTGCCGTGGAAGACCGTCAGACCTCTTCAGTGGCACGTGGCAGAGCGCAGGTGTCGGAAAAAAGTGTGAAATTGCACTGTTCAGTGTGTCCTCGATGTTGCTGTTTGGAACGATCTTATTTTGTTTTATATTGCAATTCATTAATTGGTTTCCAGAACAATAGAAATGCATTCTACATACAGAATATAATCTCGATTTAAGAACGTTTCTGAACTCCTTTATATTGTAGCTCTCATTACTTCGTGGCATTCCATTTCTAGAGCTTCCTTTTTGAATCCTGTTCAGGGTGTCACTGTTTGTGGGTATTTATGTATGTACTAATGACTGATTTTGTAGTTTATTACCTAATATTCTTTTCTTGCAAAGGTTGTATAGTACTTTGATCCAACCAGTTGTTTATAAATAAAAAGCTTATTTTCATTTCATGCTGAGGCAAGTTTCAAAGGGTAATTTGCTTTGCTTGCAGCCCTGGACGTTCTCCCGCCTGCTGTGACCATGAAATAATTATGATGAACCATGTCTACAAAGAGAGGTTCCCAAAGGTAATGAACTGAATTGAAGATGTCTAGCATCTAAATCAACGGGCAATATGGGTGTAGGTGGTTTGTTATGGGAAGGCATGGGCCAATCCCGTAGTAATGAGTTACTGTATAAGGTGGTTTGTTATGGGATAAGGTGGTTTGTTATGGGAAGGCATGGGCCAATCCCGTAGTAATGAGTTATTGTATAGAACAGCACCACAGCTTCTAAGAAAGGTAAAAATTACTGAACAATTTTTCTTTAAATGGCTGAGCACTAACCACACTTTCTGTGTGCTGAACTCCCTCTAGAGCAAATCCTGCCAGTTGCCCAACCCACGGGGTGGGCCTGGTGGGGTGCCACAGGGAGAGGGAAACTCTGCTCCCACATGCTCGCTTGCCCATTGTCTGGGCCTGCTGTATAGCGTCAAGGGCAATCCTTTTCCTTCCTTAGATGCCTGGAGAGTGGTATGTGATGAACGTCTTTTTTTCTTAAAAAACAAAACAACCTCCCAAAAACCTCATTTTTCTTTTCCGTGACTTCCTGTGTCTTCAGCAATTATATGTCTAACCCTATTAATTTAGAAGAGAAGGTGCAGTTGCAATGTTCCCCAATAGAATGGCAAAGGGAATTCACACTGAGCCCGAAAAGACTTGCTGAAGAGTTGCTGACAGACGCCCCAGCTGCGGAAAGCTGCCGTTTGACGCTCCCCGTCCCTGGCTTGCATGACCTTTCCCCTAGTGCTCCTGCACAGTCAGGAGAAGACTACCTCTCCATTGTGTTCCTGTTCCTCCCCAGCTACTCGTGTAGCCCTAGGCAAGAAAACGAAAGGAAATCTCTGGTTTCATAAATCACAAGTAGAGTACTTATTATTTGTAATGAACCCAACATTGATGTCATTGATTAAAGCCATCTTAGCTATTAATTACCTGTCCCTTGTCACCGGAGAAATAGGTCCTGACTCTTCATAGTCAGTGCTGGTTGGGATTTTAGAGAGGAGCAGGAGGCAGAGGGCACCCCTCTCTGCATAGATAATTAATATAACCAGGGGATACTGATTAGACACTAGGGCATCACAGAAAATGAAATCAGAGTTGCAAAGGAAATTTTTGATAGATGTACCCAAGGAATCTCCTTGGCCTTTTGTACAAGATGTAGCTTTTTGAGAGAAGGGTAAGGATGTTCCTGCTGCATTTAAACCTACTGAACAAAATGACTCTTGGCCCACCCTGCGGAATTCCAGCAACAGTCCTGAGTTTTGAATAGGTAAAAATTTAACTGGATATTGTTGAACATCCATGTGAAAGAAAGAGCCCACGATTTAAAATGAAAACATAACAATGCACAGTATTGTTTGGCTTATTTGAAGAAGCTGACATAGACCATTTTATATTTGATAGGATAGAAAAAAAATCATTATCACCCTTGGATAGTCAGTTTCCCTTCACATCTTTCTTCCATGAGACAAGGCTGCTGTTGCTGCTTTAAAAAAAAAAAAAAATTCAAATGAGCATTAGTTGTTATATCCAACTGATAAATCACTGAATTCTACCTCTGAAACTAACATACAGTATTTGATAATTGAATTTACATAATTTTTTTAAAAAAACAGACTATTTTTTAGAGCAGTTTTAGGTTCACAGTGCAGTTGAACTGAAAGTACCAAGAATTGCCATATACCCCCGACCATGCCTCCGCAACACCCTCCCCATTCTAGCACACCCATCCAAATACCCTCCCCCCAGGAATATCCCCCATCAGAGCGGTCCATTTATTAACAATCGATGAACCTGCCTTGACACATCATAATCACCCCAAGTCCGTAGTTAACATTTAAGGTTCACACCTGGAGGTGTATTCTGTGGGTTTTGACAAGTATATAAGGATGTTGTGTATACACAATTAGTTTTGAGAAATCTGTTTCATAATTTGTGGAGGCCTCTGAAAATGCTACATAAATGTGATGATTGTCCGTATGTGTGTTTTGTTGTATTTCATCTGTGTGTGCACGTCTTCTCTAACTAGGCTACAGCTCAGATGGAAGAACGTCTGAAGGAAATTATCACCAGCTACTCCCCTGACCACGTACTTCCTCTAGCAGATGGAGTCCTTAGTTTCACTCACCATCAGATTATTGAACTGGCTCGAGATTGCTTGGATAAATCCCACCAGGGTCTCATCACCTCACGATACTTCCTTGAATTACAGCACAAATTAGATAAATTGCTACAAGAGGTATGAACCACATACCATGTAAAGTTTTCTGATTCGTTTTGCTTTTCTGCTGAAAAAAGAGAAATTTCATGAGTGCATTTGCTTACACGTTTTAACCGTGAGATAGAGTTCATATTTGGAGGGAAGCGAAGAAGAAGAAAAAACTGATTGCTACTTTCTATAAATTGATTGTCATCATCATTTATAGTAATAGAAAGTTAATGTAATAACCATTATAGGAACCTCAGGATCTAACCATCTATGGCTCTGGGATAAGTAGATTGTGAAGGATTTTGAGGCAGTGATTTTTCCCCCTACCCCCAACCATAAAGTTATAAATTGCCTGAGTACGTGTGTGTTATTTGAGGATGCTATCTAGTCCTAATATCTGAAAAAGCTAAATGGAAAACGGCTGGCTTCTTCCAGGCCTGTGTCCTATTAATTGATCTGCACGTGGTATTGGGCAGTAAATGGTAACTTATATTTTCATTAGTGTCAGTTCCTCTTCTAACGAAATATCCAATTTCCAAAAGACAGATAAACATAGGGCCTGCCTGAGCCAACCCCTTGATTGCTTAGCTCCTGATAACAACCAGGACAGGAAGGAATGTGTATGGTAGAATGCAATTAGTGTATATATTGCTCTACTGACTGAAATTGATCAGCCACAACCTATAAGTAAAACCTGTTTAGCCTATATATTCGGTATTGTAGTTCTCTACCTCACAGGGCAGAAGCTATGCCCATGTCAGCATGATTGTACGTGTTTTTCTCTAACCGTGAATATGTAAATAATTGCGTGGACCTGAAGGAAAATAGTAGCATCCTAGTTTTCTGGAAATTATCAGTCTGCCCCAACTGAGTTTAGTTCTGGTGAGATCTCTCTCTGACCGACAGCCACTATTTTTCTTTTCTTCCCCATCCCAACATCCCGACAGAGTTTTCTGTACTTTGTTCCCATTACTCATATTTCAGCCTATCGTGGTCCATTAAGGCAGTGTTTCTCACCATATTTTAGGGCTGGTAAATACGTTGTTTTTGGGTTTTGGTGTTCATTTCCAATTTGTCTTGCACCTGTTCTTCCGCATATTAAAATGAAAATAAATGTATAGGAAAATGATCGTGCATTTGGATGTATAAGCAATGTAAAAATATAAGAGCTGCTAAGTGCTTACTCTCAGTAACTTTACTCACGTCATCACAGACTGATGGCTCAGGGACTGCCTGCAGCATAGGCTATAGTGGCCGTGTGGGCAGGGATTTTGTCTGTTTTGTGCATCTAGAATAACGTCTAACTCATAGGAGAACGCTTGTGGAGTGAATGGCTTCTGACCTCCTCTCACTGAACTCATTGAAGTCGATTCTCCTCCTTATTGTCCTATCCACCACACATTCTCTCAGAGCAGCCTGTTTAACTGAATATTATTAGATTTAGCAATACTAAAGTTTTCCCTTTCTCTCTTGCTAACCCCTCCCCCTCCTTTCAAGATATTCTTATTCTTGGTACCTCGGTTTCTTCTCTGCTTCTTCCAAGGGCTCTTCTAACTTGTGTTTTCTGGAAGTTAGCTTTCCCATATCTGATTGGTGGCCCACGGCTCCTCCCCACTTGAGATATCTTGTTGGCTATCTTAAAGACCCATGAACTCTAATGGCTTCCATTCTGCATCTCAGATCAGCAGCTCTCTCTTAGATTTCAAATTCATGTGTCTGCCTGGCTGTTGAGTATCTCTCCACCAAGGCGGTAATCCTAACCCCCACATTCTTGCTCCTATGAGGCTATAAGAACATCTATCTAAGAGTCTTCAGTGACTCCATTCCGCCTACAAGTAAAAACCCTAACATGGCCCATTGAGCACAATGCATTTTGTAATGATCTGTTTTGGGGTTTCACTTAAACAGCATGAGAGGGCTCTTTGAAAGGAGAGGGGGCTCAGAGGGAGAAGCAGGGTCCCTGCTGAGTAGGGAGCCCGACGCAGGACTTGAGCCTAAGACCCTAAACTCATGACTTGAGCTGAAGGCAGATGCTTAACCAACTGAACCACCCAGGCGCCCCAAATAGTGCATTTTTAAACAGAAGAAGCAGATAAGAGAGTATCTGTATAGTCAGCTTCTGTGAGATACTCCTGTAATTCCACATACATGTCCCAGAATATTACTAAAATTACTAGTTTAGTCCTGCCTTTTTCATGCCTTCAGAGGCTTTCTCTGAAAAGGATAGAATCAATGTCCAGAGTGATTTGCTTTGAAATCTGCCCCCAGTGGGGTTCCTGGATGGCTCAGTCAGTTGGCCATCCAACTGTTGATTTCAGCTCAGGTCCTGATCTTGGGGTTGTGGGGTCAGCCCCACACTGGATTCTGCACTCAGCGTGGAGTCTCCTGTCCGTCTCCTTCTGCCCCTCCCTCCTGCTCATACTCTCTCTTTCTTTCTCTGTATCTCTAAAACAAATAAATAAAATCTTTAACCCCTCCCCACACACACTGAATTTTATTTCTGTTTAACAGACCTGGCAGATTGTTTCATGGCAGTTATTAAAAAAAAATTCATAGCTTTCAAAAATCATGTGAATGCACCATGTAAGAGACAAAAATTGTTGATTTTGAGGTTGCCTGGATGGCTCAGTTGGTTAAGCGTCCAACTCCTGATCTCAGCTCAGGTCATGATCTCAGGGACCTGAGATGAAGCCCTGTGTTGGGCTCCACGCTGGGTCCAAGCAGGTTGAGGCCTGCTTAAGATTCTTTCTCCTCTCCCTGCCCCTCACATGCTCTCTTTCTTTCTCTTTCTCAAAAAAAAGTGATTAGTTAATTAATTGTTGGTTTTTAGGAAAATTTGTCTTTTCAGCAGAGAAGCATGTATATTTGTGGTATGAAGAGCAAGTTTTGGTTATGAATAGGAATTTCTTATTTATCTTCACAGATAAACATTTCCTTCAGTCCTTTTTTTTTTTTTTTTTTTTTCCCTTGTGGGAAAATTGAAACAGTCTTCAGAATCGCATCAACAGTGTCCTTCCAGGGTTTGGAGCTAAACAGTCACAGGGGAACTTGTGCCTTTTAGATGGAGTCTTATTATGGGAATTGCCTTGGCCTTCCCCAGGATGCAGTTGTTGTCACTTCCCAGCTGTGGCATTGTGTGCCTGCAGGGTATCTCCTGGCTACTTTCCCCATTGTCAGTTTTTTGCAGACCCAGGCAGGGTCCCCCTGCAGCTTTGAACAGCTTGATTTAACTGATGTCTTTTTAAAGTCCCCAGGTCTAGGTCAATTCCAGATGAATGCTTTTATGTCTCCCTGTGTTTTCTCTCTTAGGTGTATTTGCCAAAGAAAATACTATACATAGGAAACTATAACCTACTCAAATATGGGTCTCAGTATTTTTTATAGCAGCCAACACTTAAAATACAAACACAGGGTATCCATTAGTGTTGGCGCTTGCTGTTGGCAGCCTGGAAACTCTCTCTCTTCTCATGCTAACTGTATAATTTTGTTTGGTGTTGTCTTAACAAAACTCCCTTCCCAATACTGTTAGTAGATAAAATGTTGTTTGAGTTAACATTACCCATTGTGTGTTTTGGCCTTAGTTACAGCTGATAATTCTTAGAAGTAAGAAGTAGGAATGAACTGATTATTTTTACAGTTTTTAAAATGGAATTTGTGTAATCTAAACTAACTAAAGATTTTTTAAGATACAGAGTTCTTTTTTCTCTTTGAAGAGTTCAGCAAAACACATTCGGGCTTTTTAGATTTTCTTTATATTCCTGAATTTGTAAAGCAGTAATTAGTACAGTAAGAGGAAATTCTGTATGTAGCCCACATTGTCAATCACGAAGTTAGGTGGCTTTTTTGTTTCATCTGTAAGATTTTCTGTTTAGTTTTGATTAAGAAGAAGCTATAAAGAAGGCATATAACCATGCTTCTTGGCATTTGTTATCTCTTCCAAAGTCTCTCTTTGGTGTAAAACAAAAATTGGAAAGAAAACCTAAGGCAGTTTAAATATTACGTATAACTCCTTATACATGTCTTAACATCCCAACCAATTGCTAGGACCTGTAGTTGTTGCTACAAGTTGGTTTTTTTTTAAACGCATTCTGTTCCACAATTATTCACCAGCGGTCATTTTCCCCTGTGTTTTTTTTTCTTTGAAATGTTGGCTCTTTTGCTTTAACCTATATATGTTTCCTATACCTACATTTTGGAAAGTTGCCTTTGATTTGATGGCTTAAAATTCGTAGACCTGTTACCACTAAGTTTAATAATTTTTCACAGATTTAGTCTGCCACTTCTTTTCATGAGAGGGTTGGTTCTTAGACTAAAGCACCTTCAAGAATGATTTTAAATATTTATTAGTATGTCTGTGAAATTATGTTCTATTGTACCAGCATCTTCTCGATGTGTGTTTTTTTAGTCCCTAGAGGAAAGTAAATCATGACAATTTAAAAATTATGACAGCCTTAAAGTGAGTTGGCATAAAAGTTTACATGTTTAAACTTGTACAACTTTGGTTTTATGACTGCCTTGATACTGATTTACCTCATTTCTTCAAGAAAATATCATTGAAAATTTAAATGATTCAAACTGAGTTTTATTCTCAGGATATTTTTTGTGCTTGATGAGGCAGCATGTAACATAAAATTTAAAAAGATGGAAAGTCAGTTAAATTTTACTGAGTTGAGTGCCTAGGTATTATTTATTCAATATATGAAACCAAATTTGTATGTGTGTGTCTGAGTATAAATGTTATCCCCCTAACATTTGAAGTAAGCAATGCATGCTTCTTACACATTATAACATAGTGAATTTATAAGCTAATTGTGGTACACATGTAAAATCTATTTCATAACATAAATATGTTAAATGCCGACAATAACAAAAGCAGACCTTCACTATATTAGCCATTTCATACTTCATTTTGCAACATCTGGCAAATCAAGTCTCCTTATCTGCCCCTCACTCCACGTGTACCATGGGCTTAATGTGTCATAATCTGTTAATCTCTCCATCATTCATGGTTCACATTGAGAGTTTCGATGTTTGATTTTTAACACAGAATAAATCAAAGTTTTACAGATGAAATTTAGCTAATAGAGCCATTTTGTAGATAAAGAAGTTTAATGGTGTCCATTTGTGAAGCGATAATGTTCGCTTATCAATCCTTGAAAAGTATTTTCTAAATCACTTGATTTTCAAATATTTGCAATTATCTGGTTAATGTACTTGGCTGATTTCCTTTTCCATTTAGTAGAGCAACCCTGTCTCACCTTTCTTTTCGTTGCTTTCTCACAGGCTCATGATCGTTCAGAAAGTGGAGAATTGGCATTTATTAAACAACTAGTTCGAAAGATCCTAATTGTTATTGCCCGCCCAGCTCGGTTATTGGAGTGCCTGGTAAGTTGCCCCTAGATGGAAATCCATTATTTATTGTTAACTGTGGGAAAGCAGTGACCATCAGAAACCTCCAGTTTCATTTGCCTTCAAAGACCAGAGTTAAATGGAAAGAGTGCACAGGAGCTACAACTTGTGAATGTTTATGAGCACATCCCCATATAATTTTGTTTTCTGGTTTTAAGTAAAAATTCTAGGACTTGTGCTGTATTGAATGATAATCATATCACATTCTGTTCGAAGTGGAAATATCATCGTGAACTAATGGGCTTAATCTTATCTCAGCACCATTACTGTGTGACAGCTCATTTAAAACACTTGCTGGGCCTCACTTTTTTGGAGTTGGCAAGATGCAGAGAGGGAAATCAGAGAGAGGGTTTATCATAACCTGCAGTTACTGGTATTTGTTCTTAAAATGCGGCACGTTAGAAACAGATGCTCGGCAGCAACCCACTTGGGAGAGTATAGTAGCGTCCCATATAGACTGGAAGAAGAAAAACTTTCAGAGATGAGTTCATTTGGTCCATTATATTGTCCTTGGTCATTTTCCTACTTTACAATTTTTCTTTCATGTAATTTTGGCTGAAATTTCAGTCCACACTGTGAACAAATATGAAGCTTTGAAGATAAGACTAGTTTTAAGGGGCTTAACATAGTATCAGCACTCACTTTTAAGTTCTGCTAGCCATTAAAGTATTGGTAACACTCCATGCAGTATGGCTTTTCAGAATGATACATTCACACATATACATATCGGGTGGTATTGCTAGGGTTTTGACCTTATTTTGATTAACATGCATAGCTTTTTATAATAGTGAAATGTTCACAAGCCCCATAAATATATACCAATGCACAGTGAGTCATGTGAGAGGGGAAATCTTGAGGAAATGGGGAGGGGCATGGCGGAGTAGGTGTTTCCATCAGTGGCCAGGACCCTTAGAACCACAGATTCAAAAGCACCATTTGGCATTGTCTCTGGAAGGATAAAGGGGAACAAATACTCTGAGAGAACCGTGTGACTGGCAAATGCAGGCAAAAGGAAGTCTCATTTTGTACTACGTCTCCCATTGTACTTTTTTTGAATTATGCACCACATGTTTGTACTTCCTGTATTTGTTTCATTTGGGGGGAAAATAGCATTTAGCATTAAAACTTGTTTCTCTGGACAGCCACAGATATGCTAATAGAAGATTTTGCCTTAAAAGAGGAAATGAATTTTTTCAGTAATCCCTCCTCACCAAAAGTGAAAAAGTAAAAGTATAACCTTTCAGGGATAGAAACAGGTGAACTTAAGAGTAGAATTGAAAATGTTACTGTTCTCAGCACTATTAAAGCTCAAATGAAACTGGAGCTTCAGAGTTTAAGGGGTTGGTTTCCAACCAGTGGTCTTAGTTAGGCCTGCTGTTTCAGGCCTGCGCTTTGTGTCATTGTAGGTTTCTAAAAAGGGCGCTGAGTGTATATGTTGGTTTTGACTTTCCTCCATTTGCAGCAAGATTTTTTTTTACATGGCCTTTAGAAACCCTTGAGTGATTCTTAGGTGAAATGCTGATATTCTAAAGTTGTCTAGTTGGGGTACTAATCAAAATGGGAAACATCTTGAGGGGATAAAATCTAGGAAATTTAACTAAAAATAGCCTCTGTGGTTTAAATCTGCAAACATAATTGTATACAACAAGTAAACCTATGACATCGATTTAGAGTGATAGAACTCTAAAGATTTTTATTACATCCTAGAAGTAGCAACCAAAGAGAATAAAATATATAGGCAAAATGTGCTACCAAATTTTAAAAATAGACACAGGTAATAGCATTAGTTTTGTAATTTTGTCTTTCTTAATCTTCACATATCATGAATATTAACTTAATTTTAGAATGTACTGACAAAAAGTGGTAATTTTGATATTTAAAAAAAAATACTTTTGCACCCTTTTGTACTAATGGAGTTTCCTGCAAAACCTTTGAGAATATGGATTCTAGCATTACTCCTTTTGAGGCTGTTTATGCAAAGAGAGAAACTGAATCTTCTGGATGAGATTTTGGATTTAAAAATTTTACTAAAAAAAGCATTATTTGAATTTTAGACATGTTCATTTTCAATAAGATAGCAATAGGATATCTTCAAGGTTGCATTTTAAGGAAATTGGAAGTGGTTCCTCTATGAGTTACCAAGGACATGCATGCATTGCCTTAGAATATGAAAGCCTTCACATATGAAATAAGAATTGCGTACTTTTTAAAAAGTCATTTACTTCCTTCCTGCATAAATAACCCGCAAATGTGTATATTGAGCAAATTTTATTGTGAGAGGAATTTATGTAATAAAACCTCAGAGAATTTTGGCTCAAATAAGTATACATCTGTGTTTGTCTTCTGCTAGGAATTTGATCCTGAAGAATTTTACTACCTATTGGAAGCAGCAGAAGGCCATGCAAAAGAAGGACAGGGTATTAAAACCGACATTCCCAGGTACATCATTAGCCAGCTGGGGCTCAATAAGGATCCTTTGGAAGGTACGTACCTTGGTTGGGCTGACTTTTCACTTGACTGTGCACTACGACTTCAGACAAGAGCTTAGCAAGTCTTTACCTTTTCCACATGATCTAGCTCCATCTGTTGAAAAGTACAAATTTGGGGAACCAGTTGTGCTTTAAAGAAAGAAAGCAGCCCTTCACTATAGGGTTCACAACTCACTACGTTGAGTCCCAAAGAGCGGGTGAACCTGACCCATTTTGTGTTCTACCTAGAGTGTGGGGCTAAGGCCTTGAAATCCCAGAGGTCTCTCAGCCTGACAATACCACAGCATCCTGAGAGGGTTCAGATTACAGACTTCTCTGAGTATTTTTTCTCTTGCGAAGCTCAGTAGGGTTCTTCTCAAGTGTACTTTTAATTTTGAAGATGTTGCTAAAGAAATTAATTATAATTAATTTAAAAGTGACATTTAAAGTAATTGGGGAGTAATGCAACTGATGATAGATTTAGACGAGGCACAGTGGTGGTAGGTAGATTTTTGCATGTAACAAAAAATTGTGAAAAATGGTAATATACAGGAAGGCCAGTGGGGGGAAAATGTTTCTGAAAGCTTACAGGTCTAATGTTATTAAATACACAGAAGACTAAGCACCTTGTTAGTGGTTTTTTAAAAATCTAATACCAGTAAACTACTCCTCTGCCCCCAACCCTTTCCTGCTCTCTATTATTTGGATTAGCCTTTAAAACACTTAAATTACATACCGCCTAAAAAGAGTCAAAAGCAATCAAAGACTCCTTCATTCGAAATCCTCTTCCTGGTTCTTAAAATTGAATTTGCAAACAGCGTTTATCTTGCTCAATTGTTTGTAATGATGGTAACTGTTGGCACAGATATTTTCCCATCTAAAGCCAGGGAACCTGCTGCTCTCTGCCCTGCTCTCCTGTTTTCCCCCGCTTTGTTTGCTCTTACGGCCATCGGATCTTTGCTTCCAGTGAAATGATGCATGCATTCCTGGGAGATAATGCCAGATAAATTTATATTGTCCTGAAAGCAATACCACATCAGATTCATCACTTATCAGAGGCTGGTGGCTGCTTTTCCTGAAAAGTTCCCTGGGGAGAGATATTTTCCCCATGGCTTTTAAATTACCATCTTTACCTTTTTGAATCATGAGTCTTCAGAAATGGTTTAAATCAATGAAATAAAAAGGGCAGATGTTTAATGGTATTTAGATGAGTTTTAAAAATCTCTTCAGGCATTGCAAAACGATGCCTTAGCTTCCTGCTTCAAAAGCTGACTCCTGGTTCCATTCCATTACTACTCACTGCTTGCAAATAATATGTATTTCCCAGATAATAGTTATTTAGCAGAAATCCTATTTAAAACAGCCATCTTTTAATTTTTTTTTTTTTATGAAAATAATTGGAGTGGGAAGGCTGTCAAAGTATATTAGAGTGACTGTTCACGCTGGTAGAGTTGAGGTTGGTTCAGCCCTTGAACTGTAGAGTGAGTGGGCTCTTTGCAGTTTTCTTAACCCGGCAGTAAAGATCACTGTGGGCTGAACTTTGGTAGGTGAATCATCTGAGGCCCATTTATGTGCCTTTATAGAGACTCTAAAAAAAAAATCTTAATGGTGATCTTGGACAAGTTTTGAGTTTAGTGATACAAATTTATCGCTGGGAGTCGTGTTTTTAACTCTTGATGCTTCATATTCTTGATTCCGATCTGACGGTGATTTTTTATCTCTTTGTTACCCCTTAACATGCCATTATTTAGACTCTCATCTACATTTATTACCCCTTCTTGTCAACATTTACACTAACAGACCTACAGCCTGAGCTTTGAAGGTTGGGGGTAAGGGTGGGGAGTGGAAAAGCTCAGGTCTGCACCCTGGCCCCAGCCCTGTGGGCCATGACCTTGACCCTGCAGCTGATGAGCCTTTGTGCCTCAGTATTCTTTCCATAAAACCAGGGAAATGGGACCTATTTGTAGAGTTGTTTTTAGGATTATAGGAGTTCATCTCTCCCCCCAAGATGCAGTAATGCGTAATAAATTTTAGGTACTGTTGCTCTTTTGTTTAAAAGATATTAAAATCCATCTTATCCTTAAGAGTCCCTGAGAGTGAATACATTTGTGCCCACCTCCCAGTCCCCCAATCTAAAGTGCCCATCATACAGGAAGTTGACATCGCTTGAATGACACTAAGAAATCACCTGGTTTGTACTAAGCTCATTTTTATTTTTGAATTTCCCCTACTGGTAAATTAGGAAAGTTAGTGTCAGTCTTCAGTTATTTTAGATTCTGGAGTTTGTTGGTTTTTATCCGAAGACAACACTCCAGTGTTGTTTTGCTTCATATCTTTTATGGGTAATCTCTCCCAAAAAGGATAATGATATTTCTAAGAATATGAATACATGAAATGAGAGTCTAAGGACTACTTTTAGATGCATACAAAAATAGGTAACTAAAAACTATAACTTTTGCATAAGTTACTATATATATAATTTAGTATACATGTTCAATTTTGAAAAATTAGAAAATGTAAGTACCTATGATCTTACCACTCAGAGATAACTAACTCCCTGTCAGCATTTTGGAGAGAATTCCTTCATGTTCTTTTTAATTAAACACCTTTTTTTCTTTAAAAATAAAAATTAAAATGAACAATTAAATGAATTAGGTTTCTTCGTTTACTTATATAGACTTAGAGATGCATTCCATTGTAGACTGAGCAGTTAAATGCCGTTTTCGTTTTCTTTTTTCTTTTTTTTTTTTAATTTTATTTTGGTTTTGTCTCTTTTAACTAGCCCACCAGGATAGTACTTAAGCTGGTGTCAGGCATGTGGCATCCAGCCCAGGATTGACTAACTTACAGGATGTAACTAATAATCATAAATAACCATCAATATTAAGTGAACACTTCACTTTTGTTAGTCGATATGCTAAGAGCCCTACAGGAATATCCTGTGTCATACTTACAAGAAACTCTCAGACATGAATACGTTGTTCCCATTTTACAGAGGGGAAAGCCTGTGGGTGAAAGGTCCCTAGGATGTGCTGATCATGGTGGTGTGCTGAGTCTTTTTGTTGTCCAGCCCCTCTCAACAACTACTACTTTGTTTGTGAAAAATTGCAAATTCTTCATGTACTAGGCAGGGGATATTGCTCAGTGGCTGTGAAGAAACAGAACGAGGAATATTCAACCTCAAGTTGAGGATCATCTCTGAGCTGGAGTCAGTGCGTCTTCGATGCCTGTCTGAGCCTGGGAAGACGTGCCTCTCTTGAGAACCCGATGATAAGAACAGTTATTACATACACACCCCTGCCCCCCCAACCCTAAGTTTGTGTTGGCCAATCAGTCCTGCTAGCTCAAGCAGAGGCCCAGCTCTGAAGTACTTAGGATCTAGGTGTTCGTGAGAAATGGGGTTCCAGGGAAGGGCATGTCCTGAACAATTTCCAGAATGTCAGTTATCAGGTCTTGCCATTTTTGATTTGAGATTTTCCCATGGGTACATTGAAGTATAGAGTAATTTTTTTTTAATTTTTTTTTTAGTATTGAAGAAGTTACTTCTTGTCTAGTTGAAATTGTCCTATTCTCTTAAACCTTGTTTTGTTTTGTTTTTTAAATTTAGAAATGGCTCAGTTGGGAAACTATGATAGTGGGACAGCAGAAACACCAGAAACAGATGAGTCAGTGAGTGTAAGTATCTTTCTCGATGAAATACGGTGTTGGTTTTTCTGTTTATCAGCTTCTGGAGATTTGCAGTGTGTCAATAACTTTATTTCTTCCATAAACATGTGTTGTGCTTCTATATGCAAGGCAGTAAGCATATAATTTCAGCCCCTCTTTCCAAAGAGAGAGAGATTAATAAAAAGAAACCATACACAAAAAATAAAAATTTTAAACTCGAAGAAGATGTACAAAGAAAAAGGGCCCTGTGCTACTAAAACATAACATTGACAGAGAGTGACCTCAGTCTTCCCAATCCAAAAAGATCTCCTGAGGAAATGGCCCAGGACCTGTGGTATGAGAAGTTACTAGGGTGAGAAGGGCGTGGAGGGAACATTCCAGGCCCAGGGCACAACCTGCACAAAGACTGTGTCACAAGGGATCAGAGTGCATCTGAGGGTAAGGGCAAGGAGATCATAGAGACTGGAGAGCTGGGAGCCAAAACCAGACATAGAGGTCCTTACTGTTCATCTTTGTCAAATCTTTTCTTTCAAAGAATGGTGAGAAGCTATTGAACTTGGGAAGAAATGTATGTGTTTGTGGGGTGGGGACAGACGGACAGGAAGATGACCCAGTCAGAGTTACAGCTTAAAAACAATCTTACAACGGCAGTATAGATCACAGATGGGGCGAGGGGGGGCAGATAGGGGTGACCATGGAGAAGCCACTCAAGAGGCTTGGCAGTGGCACAAGGAAGAGTTCTGGGATATTGGTGCCGTTGTCCCTAATTGTGAACACCAGAAGGGGAACCAGGCTGAAGCAAGTTGGGGGTGGTCAGGAAAGAGAGGCAGCTGTGTAGCTTGGGGGCTAAGGCTCTAGAGTAAGATGGCCTGGATTTGAAAGCTGGCTGCATCTCTCACTAACTGTGGGCATCTTCTCTGTGCCTCAGTTTCCTCTTCTGTAAAATAAATATAAAAGGTGACAAAATAATAAATGAGATAATTTATGTGAAATGGTTAGATCAGCAACATTACTACATGCTAAATAAATGATAGTTTTGTTAACTTTATCCTAATTATTATAATTTTGAATTTTATATTACATTATATATATTATATAATTATATTATAACTTTGAATTTTGAATATAATATTATAATAATAATATAATAATAATAATAAAATTATAATATTATAATTTTGAATAAGTGTAGACTTAAGTTTTTTAGGGACATTCAAGAAGAGCCATCACACTAGCATCCGTATACATGGTGTGGGATCTCCCGGCACTTGGAGGGTTTTTGGTGGAGTTCTGAATGGGGTAGGAGTCATCCATGGGCATGAATGAGGTCCCCTGGGTGGGGAAGAGTTAATGAGACAGGTGGGCCTTGGACAGGATCTTTGAGTCCAAAGCTGCAGAGCCCCATCAGAGTGGAATGGTGAGACAAGTGAGTGGTTCCAGTCTTGAATTATGTCCTCTGAGAGAGGGCGTTAGCAGTGATGACTAAACCCCAGGGCCCGTGGCCAGAAACCTAGGTGAAATAGAGAAGAAGAAGAGTGGTTTGGTTAAGCAACACAAGAAGCCCAGAGGCCACTGCATGGCCCCTGAAGTCATCCAGGATAGTGAGAGAAGCATAGAGGAAGGTGGGAAGCTGGGTACCCAGGTCTTCCTTCAATAAATGGGACAGTGTGTCAACTGATGACAGCATCCAGTGGGGGAGGGTGACAAACACCTCAGACTCATGGGGTTTCTTCCACAATTACAGGAAAGAACTCTGGGTGCTCTGCAGAAGGAGCAAAGAGGCTGTCCATCCTCTCAATCCTAAGATATGTGGAGTATGAAAGAATATTTCCAAAACAAACAAACAAACAAACAAACAAACCCATTTTACTTATTATTACCCTTTGAACTCAACTTTTTAAAGAAATGTCTTTTTGAGAATAGATATCTAAACCATGGTAAGACTAATGATGTGGAAGTCAGGAGAGGCACGCATTGCCTCATTGTTGCTGACTACATTTTCCAAATAAGAAGGGTTGCCACTAAGGACAGACATCCTCTGATCAGGGACAGAAATGCTGCACCAACTGTCCTTCCATGTAGAGCCACAGTGGCCCTTTCTGTTCTGACTGAAATTAGAGTTAAGGTTTGACGTTTTGGACTTAATTTCAAAACTTGAAAAGATTGGGATGAGGCTAGCTTGAATAGTTTACAGAGGTAAATTCAAGTTGGAAATTTTTTTTAAAGATTTTATTTATTTTTTTGAGTGAGAGAGAAAGAGTATGAGCAGGGAGAGGGACAGAAGGAGGGAAGCAGGCTCCCCACTGAGCAGGGAGCCCAATTTGGGGCTCAGTCCCAGGACCCTGAGATCATGACCTTAGCTGAAGGCAGAGGCTTAACCAACTGAACCACCCTGGCGCCTCCAAATTAGAAATTTTCAAAAGCTTGGTGCCTTCGTCTCCCAGAAATGGGGGTTCACTTAAACTAGACTGAGGCTCCGTCATGAGAGGCAGTCTCTCAGCACCGCCCTGCAGAACTCAACTTGAAAGCTGTGTGCCAGCTTCCTTTGGCTCGAATACTGCCCTTCAACAGATTCAACACCAGAGCATAGAATGCAAATGTTATTTGTGGTACTATTAAAACCATTTTCTTAAATCCTCAACTCTCCTAACTTCCTTATTTTGTTTCCAAGAGCTCTAATGCTTCCCTGAAACTTCAAAGGAAACCTCGGGAAAGTGATTTTGAAACGATTAAATTGATTAGCAATGGAGCCTACGGGTGAGTAATTCAAGAAAGCTCTCTATTGTATTTTAACACACCTGAGTAATATATTCTTCGCATTTATCCTAGGCCAAATAGACGTCATTAGGGACTTGAGTTTTCAGTTCATTGCTCCTCACTGGTGGGTATAATATGCAGCCCACATCGTTTTTCATTTAGATACTCCATCAAGAAAGCCTATCAAGTGACCTAGAGTTATTTTAGAGGTATGGAGGAGACTTTATAAAGTAAAGGTAAATTTTTATATATACCTGTTTCTGCTTCCTTTATTATGCCCTTTGGGTGCAGAAATACCTGATTCTTGGTTGTATATATGCATACACACATTTCTATCTAGATATATATATATATATATATATATATATATATATATATATAATCTATATCTCTGAAAACATGTAAATTCATATATAGCATCACTACTTAAGAGTTAGCTGGTACTTCCTCTCTGACCGCCAGTCAGTCTGGTGAGAGAAGTACTTAAATGAGAAGACTGCTTGAAAATTTAAAGCAGTATATTTCCCTCAGTCTTTATATTATACCAGCGTTTTGTTTTGCTTTTCAGCTGAAGTCCGTGTTCTAATCTGGTCACATAAGCGATGCCCCCTTCTTGCTTCATATTTAGAGACACAGGGTTTTCCTCTCAGGGCGTAGGAAGGGTCAGTTGTGACGAGATCCTGCTGAGTTACTAAGAAATAGTTAGGAAGGGTAATTAATACACATCCCGTGTCCTGATCCGTTTTAGACAGCCCAAGAGCTCTAGTTTAATTAAGTATTAATCTCAATTCCATCTGTATATGGAGAGCAATAAACAATCCCATAGACATTTATTGCCATTTATCACACAGATGAGCAGATGAGATAAAGTGATTTTTGTTATGCCACAAGGGATGTTTCTCCTTATGACTTTTTTTTGTCTCTAATATTTTCCACACCATTAACTTCGTGAAGAACTTAAATAGTTGTGAGTCCTTTCTGTGCTTCGCTGATTTATTTCCAGGATTATGTCAAATGGTATATTTCTTGATGTGGCTTGTAAATGTTTTCTGATGTCCTATTTTCACAACATTGTCTTTCATTCAAGGGCCTCGTGGAAACTTTATCCCCTAAGAAAATTGATTTAGCATACAGTCATTTGTGAGTTTTGTTTGTTTCTTACTTGGTTGTAGTTCCTGTTGGTTCTTGAGATCCTCCGAGGATTTCTTCCTTCATTAGGGAAGAAAAACGGGTCTTTGATTTAATGGGTCTCTGGGTTGGAGCACTGATAGATTTTATTGGCAGTGGAATTCTAGAAAAAGATGATCTGTGAAGCACCACTTTTATCAAATTTGGGCATATATCTTAGCAGTATTTGGAGTTCTAATTGGTTGAGTAAACTCATTTGTAGTGCAATTAAAGCGCTGTCTCGTAGATGAGGTATATCACACTTCGGGGACTGGTTGGGAATATACAAGAAGTTAAACAAGCTGTGAATCGGTAAACAGCCCGGATGCAGGCCAAGTCATTAATGGGCTGACAAGCTGCCTGCGGGAACTTCTGCCCAGCAGCCAAAACTTCTTTCCCTCTTTTGCTCTCCTCAGATTTAATCTCCCATTACATTTCTGACAGATTTCCCCTTCGTTTTAATTCTTTTTAATTTAAAATCCGAATGGCCCTAAACCCATTGGTCTACCCAGTCAGGATGCTGACAGCAGGCTTACGGAACCTGGCTGAACGCGGGGATGCTTCTCTGGGTGGATGAACTGAGGCTGTTGGAGGTTTCCTTGGTGTTTGTGTTAAAGTCCGTCCCTCACCTTGGTGGCTTCGAGTGACCTTGATTCTGCAACTTGGTGAAAATCGCCTGTGCTGGAAACTAACCCTGTCATTAGAAGGAGCTAAATAACACATCAGGGTTTTCTCAACATCATACTTAGTGACAGTTCATGTTGTAAACCCAGTCTGCTAATTTGATATCATCCAGTCTCCTCTGCTGAATATGTTTCGGACACTGAGTGCTGGTTTATATATGCTTTCTTCTCGCAAGAGCCCCGTGTGCTGTTGATGTTATTTCCGCCTAGACATGGGGAAAGAGGGGCTCAGAGGCACGGCTGGTCACAGGTGTGCTGATTCCAAGCAGTGTTCCTCCTTTCTCCGATGCTGCTGTTGCAACTTGGAGCTGTCTTTTCTTGATTCCACCTGAACTTTTAAACAACAGCTTTGGATGTTTTCAGAGTGAAAGAGTAAAATTAACTTGATTAAAAAAAAAATCAAATTTGAAAGGCACAACATTTCTGTCCCACTTTGCTTTTGGTTTCTACCTTTGTGGTACATCGTTCTCTTTGACGCCTCAAAAGATGGGGTCATTTATGCGACAGACGCATGTGCGTAGGTTGGTGGCTACAGCTCTCTCCCTACAGCCTTTCCTCTAACACGTTCACTCTTGTTCGCATGTACAGATTTGCTCGCACGGATTCATGTCCTGGACTTTCGGGTTTACGCATTATTTTATACGCATGAGACACTCACACTCCGGAGAGGACTGATTCATTCTGTTCTAGATCCCATCAGCTTTTGATTCCATCTCTCTCTACCCTCCCACTCCTCACTTCTGCCTGGGGTGAAAAAAAGCTTGACTGAGAGAGGACAGGTACCAGGCTCCGTGCATCATCCCCCACCCTTGGGTTCTACTATTTACCAGGCAGATCAGTGTAGGAAAAGAGACAGAAGCAGCCTTTTGAAAGAAAGCAGCCTTTCTTTCAGGCCAAACTGCAGAGAAATGAGGGGCTGAGTCAGTTCAGTCCAGTTTTATAACCTTGGATGGTGTGTAGCTGTGCTTAGCAGTGTTAGATGTCTTGTCCGTCAGCCAGCTTCTGTCTGTCTCTTTGTTTCGATCTCTTTCACCCTCTCTCTGTTGAATTAAGTCAATTTGGAACATCAGCTTTCAGGAGAGGAAGGAGGGTGTACACGAGAGAGGACAATTACTGCTCAACAACCAGATTTCAGCATTAAGAAGACTATTCCTAAGGCAGTAAAGAACTGTAAAAACAAGAACATAAAACAAAGAGATAAGTAGCTACAGCAGATTCTAATTAAGAAGCCTAGTTGACTTTTGCAACTTGATTAAGATATGAACGTCCCTGGGCAGTGATATCTCAAGCTACCTATAGGATTAATTTCTGTGGGTGTAGGTAAATTTCCCTAGGCATTGACTGATGATGTTAAGCACATCCTAGTAAGGCAAAGCAAAAAGTCATGAAGTTTTATAAATTGCAAGTCTGAGAGTAAAGGTATGGGTCCTTCCCCATTCACAGAGTGCCCCTGGGAAACCTAGTCCGGATGCCAGTCAAACTGGGCCTGAAGCCTCTTTCTCCTTTGCTCTTTCATTAAATGGTGGAAGGCTGTTCTTCCTTCCCCACTTCCTGTTATTCTTCCTGTTATCCTGTTTTGTTTTGTTTTGTTTTGTTTTGTTTTGTTTTAAAGAGCATCCTGGTTTACCTCCTGACGCCGATGAAGCTCTATCTAGTGAAGGCTGGGTCACTCCCTGTAAGAAATTAATCCCAGGAAAGGTTTCCAACTGCAGGCACTCAAAATGGACCCTGGCCTTGGACTTTGTCCATTTAAAGGGGATGGTAGAGGGGAGTGTATGGCCTATTGAAATTGAAGAGAAAATCTGATCTAAGAGAATGGCTTGAAATGTAGATAGCTCACGAGCCCTTTGTAAGGGCCTTCAGCGCTCGGACTGGGTAAGCAATAAAAATAGTAACTTTTTCTCATCATCAACCAAAAAAAAAAAAAAAAAAAGGAAGAAAATGTGCAGTCTGATGAATTCGCATGCACACTGGGGTTAGATCACTTGTAGGAAGGAACCAGGGTTCCAGTTTAGCATATAGAAAAGACTGAAGGAGGATTACTTTTGAGTAGATTTTTCATGAAATGCTGATTTTTCCTTTGACTGCAGAAGCTAGAGTTTTAAAACGTTACCTCTTTGGTTGTCCCTGATTTGCAACGCTCGGCTAGGGAGGCACCAGGGCTGTTTCGGGTAGCTTAGAAGAAAGAAAACCTGCATAACGCTTGCTGATGCCCATTGATCTCGGAGACCTTCCTTTCTTTGCACCAAGTCCCTCCTCTCAGGGCCTCTGAACACTGGTTTGGGGTTAATTCTGGCACAGTTGTTAAGATGATGCAGAATGTGGGCTTAAACTACAGCCAGAGGGTTCAGTTCTGTCCTGGGTTCAGTGGTCCTTGGCCAAGGGTTGCTACTCATTCCATGGATGATATTAACATGAGTTAGAAGCATGATAGAGATCAAAGGTGATTTTTTTTTTTTCTTCTCAAAAATGGTTTTGCAAATCTTTTTCAGAGCTGATAGACACACACCTTAGCTGGATACAAAACATATTATGAAACAGAATGACTGTGATCTTTGATCCAAGAAATCAAAGTTAAAGGTAATTGACATAACAGGAATACTGCTGAGAATAACAGACATACTGCTGAGCAGTTTTCTATGTGAGAAACACTGATAGTTGATTGAAAATCCCATGGCAGCCCTATGACAGTCTACAAGTGAGGTTCCTAGTATCATGTCTGGAGGGTCCTCAGTGCAACATCTACTCAGTGTGAAATATTCAAAGAGAGAGAACATGAGCTGTATTCCAGTTGACTCTCGGTAGTAGGCAAGCACTTATGTAAAGATACTGTTTTTTTCAACGTTTCAAATTCTAAATTTCATTTTAAAAGGTAAATTCCCTATTTCAGAAATTCCTCTTAGTAACAATATTTGTTCTCCAGTGTTTGTCTTCTGTTTCTGAGTAAGTCAGGTTATTTTCTGTGCTCCCTTTGTATCTGTCTGTCCACCTTCCAACATCTGATTAGGGGAAGCTCAAGGTTTTTGGGGGATCTTGATTTTATCCAGTCAGTATTTGGAAAAAGAAAAATAGTGTAAAAGTCTTTGATCCAGAAAGAAGTAGTAGTTGGTTGGTTAATTAAATTGGTCAGAGTCAGAAATCATTTAAAAAAAAGATGTATACTTTAAACATACTTTTAATTTCAGATGCATCCTGAAATTAAACATTTCAGTGTAATCTAAATATATATAAATTCAGAGGTGCCTGGGTGGCTCAGTCAGTTAAGCATCCGACTCTTGATTTTGGCTCAGGTGACAATCTATAGGTTGTGAGATCCAACCCCATGTCCTGCTCTGTGCTGGACATGGAGCCTGTTTGGGCTTCTCTCTCTCCCTCTCCACCCCTCCCACCCACCACTCATGTACTCGTGTACTCGTGTACTCTCTCTCTTCAAAAAAAGAAATGATAATCATACACACACACACACACACACACACACACACACACACGTGTGTGTGTGTGTGTGTGTGGTGTGTGTGTGTGTATATATATATATATATATAATTTTAGTAGTCCTCTGATATAAGGCCTTTTTAGGACAGCCTATATAAACCATCTTTCTAATACATTGTTTTTGTTTTCTACTTTTTGCTACTTTAAATATGAAGCAGGAACTTGAAGCAATCTGCGTGTAGGAATCTAGACTGTATTATTTTTCCCACTTTTGAAAACCTTCTGACCCATACTAAATCAATAGGATTTTTATTTAGTAACTCATATTTAACGTATCTATCAGTACTTTCCAAAGCATTCCATTTTTTTTTTTAATAAACAACGAAGTTTTTCCTTTTCACACTCCTGTTTCATCGGTTTAAATATTTGTTTAAATTAGTTAATCCTGACATCAAGCCTCACCAGAAAAACAGGTGTAGGAATAAACCCAGCTGGTGAGAGCCCCAGCATTTGACATCCTGAAGAAGACTGCTAGCCTGTGTAGAAAGTGTTGGCCACCCAGCTGGCCAACTCCCCTGTCAGTATGTGGTACAGTGGAAATAACAGTGCTAGATTCTTCCTTGAGTTGGTTATATAAAGTGTGGGTAAAAGAGATTTTTTTATACAGTGAAGGAAAGAAGAGAAGACCAAAGAAATATTGGGGGGGCAGGGGGGAGAAGTAAAGCAAAAAAAAAAAAAAAAAAAAGGTAAGGTTTAAAAAAAGACCCCCCCCCCCAAAAAAAATGATTTTGCAAGTGAAGGAGAAAGATGGATACAGTGAAAAGGCAAACAAACAGAGTTGAAAAAAAAAAAGAATTTCTAATTGAACAATTGGGAGGAACATGTGAATATCAGTTAAACTGAGATTGAATATACTTCAGATTTATGTAAGTGGATTTTACTCTGGGAGATTGGTTCAGCAGGGACTTAGAGGGTCATAGTTCTCCTTGCTTTCAGTTTTCATGAGCAGTGAAAATGAGCAGTGGAATATGCATTTCAGATCAGATAACCCCTTGTTTTAGGATACAGACGTTGGACATCCTTTACTGTGCGTGATTGCTGTTTAGGTAAATTATTATTTATTTGAGCATTTCCTAACCTGAGAGCTCACATCTGTTCCACAATAAGGACAAGTGAGGAGTAACTTAGGAGAAAATGAGCCAGTGGAAGATACTTTCCTTGTTGCTCATCATTGCCAGGTGAGGTTTTAAGCCTCCTCCTCCTCTTGACTGATTTCTTCCACATCAAGCTTCAAAGAGTCCATTGTCTTTACCCAGCCAGAATTGGTTCTCTAGAGTATGTGCATGAGTGCAGCCTCCTCATTTTACAGTAAAGTTGGCTGTCACCTTGGCCATGGGTCGGATGGACGAGTGTATTATTGGCTTCCTTTTATGTTGGGAAATGCATTTTTTGTTGAAACAGCCATAGGTGTAAATCATACTGATGTGTGTAGTGAGGAAATACACTACTCTCCATTGCAGGACAGCCTTACATGACCTGTTACATACTTCTCATTTATCTGGAATTCCATGGGGAGTAAATTACCCTCAAGTTGGAAGCCACCTACCCTAAGAAGCTTTGGTCCTTTTTGTAGATCCCAAGGGTACCATATAGAAAATTACCGCTTTAGTCAGTCTAGAAAAAATGCCTAACATATATCTAATGCCTGAAAGGATATAGCTCATGGTTGTATATGTCCTTTTTAAAATTCTTTTCCTGCTCTGACTTATATATTGAATTTTGCTTTGTTTGTGGAAGAACCGAAAATATCGGTTAGCTCTTGGAAAATAGCCCATTCTAGAGACTGTCCATTTCTGTCCTTGCGGTGAAGATGAATTTGAAGCCTTATGTGTGACCAATGACATTTAGCGAAAGAATAAGAAATAAATAAATGTAGCCATAAGATTTTGGCCTGGAGTGGGATGTTTGTAGCTGCTAGGATAGTGTGTGTGAGCTGAATTCCAGCGGCCATGTGAATGCAAAAAAAAAGAAAAGAAAGAAGAAAAGAAAAGCTGGCCATCACATGGTTTACCTATCCAGAAGCATCATCACTTCCCATGAACCCCAACTCTTGTGCTCCTTTTCAGGGCAGTCTACTTTGTGCGGCATAAGGAATCCCGGCAGAGGTTTGCTATGAAGAAGATTAACAAGCAGAACCTCATCCTCCGAAACCAGATCCAGCAGGCCTTCGTGGAACGGGATATCCTGACTTTCGCAGAGAACCCCTTTGTCGTCAGCATGTACTGCTCCTTTGAAACAAGGCGCCACTTATGCATGGTCATGGAATACGTGGAAGGTAAATCAGTGTCTGACACAGAAAACATGACACCTGTACCCAGAAACCACTGGCTCCTTTGTGCGGTGGAGGCCTTCCCTGTTGGGCAGCGGAATGGTTGTAGCCGCCTAGGAACTGAAGCCAGGCAATGAGATGGCTGTATTCCCAATCATCATCTTCTGATAATTGCTCGTAGAGTGCCTGCTCTACTATAACAAAGGGAAAATTAGTGCTATTTGGAAGAAGGTTGTTTTTCTTTTTTAATAGCTTTTAATCCTAACTACCTTCTCTCAATTGGTCATTAAAGTTAGAATGTAGGTGATGGGATTTTTTTCCTACTTACTTTTATCACATAGCATATCATTCATTACAATTGATCTTCTTAAAGAATGAATTAAAAATACATCCATTTTTGGTCTATGGTGTGAAATTAAAAATGAGTTAGGGGAAAAGAACATACAAGTCAAGAAAATTTAACTTTTTTTTTTATGTTTATGGCTTACCTTTTAAATATTTTTTAATATTTTTATTTCCTTCCATTTTACATTCAATTTCTGCATTTTTGGCCATGACTTATTGACATAAACTAAGTTAATAAAAGGAATATTTCAGGAAGGGCCAAAACCATCTGCAGAGCATCTAATTTAAGCTCTAAAACTTATAGGAGCAGAACCCCAAAACAATAAAACTCGAAGAAATGTTAAATATCATTTAGTTCAACCTTTTCATTTTGCAGATGAGTGAACTGAAACCCGGGAAGGGGGGAAACTTACTAGATACTTTCCTTGTGGACACAGGATAAAAGCATAGCTTACGTGATTTCCACCCAGTTTTTTTCCCCCCATGCCAGCGCCGGGCTTTATTAACCTTGGTTGTGTTCACCATAACTGACATTTGTCACATGTTTAATAAATATTAGCAATATCCTAAATTCTTTACATAGATTACCTCATTTAGTCCTCATAATAACCTGAAAAGGGATGACAGTCTTATATCTTAGTATTAGAGGAAAGAGCCAGGTCTAGTTTGACTAAGATCTACCTGCCTCTAAGAGTCAGGGGTAGGATTTGAACTCAGTAGCCTGATTCCAGAACCCAAGCTTTATGCTGGTGTATTTTGTTCTTCAAATTTCAGTTCTGCTTCAGAGCAAGTCTGCTCTCTTGGAAGGACTCCTGCTTAAAAAAAAAAACACAAAAAACAAACTTTGTTTTTTTCCCCCACACCACATCTTAGAGACGTGATTACTCTGTGCATGGTTTCCACTTAGGAATTTGAAATGCTGTGTCTGGGGATAGAGGGCATTCTGCTTTGAAGGTCTTTAATCTGAACTGATGGTCTTCTTCAATCCTAGCTAATAACTCCACCTGCTAAATCTTGTGCTTGGGTTTTCTAGGAGGTGACTGTGCTACATTAATGAAGAACATGGGGCCTCTCCCTGTTGATATGGCCAGGATGTACTTTGCCGAGACGGTCTTGGCCTTGGAATATCTACATAATTATGGAATTGTACACAGGGATTTGAAACCAGACAAGTATGTACACCGAGGAAACACATCTCTTTTTCCACACTATACAAAAAGTTGTCTACTGTCTCTAAAAATGTTTTCTTTTAATGTTGCTTTGCACGTTTTGAAGTTCTCCTATAATGTTCCCAAGTGAGTTATTTTGGCAGTTTATATGATAATATTTATATAATAATTTAAAGGCTTTGGTGCTTATAATAATAGCTTGTAAGGAACAAAAGAAAAAGATGATATAAAGCCAGGATTAGTTAAAATTTTTTAAGTTTTTTGTTATGTTCAGTTTTGAATAGCTTCTAGAAATGTGCTACAAGTTTTTTTCGGATAGTTTCTGCATTTGGTATTATCCCTGTTCCTTCCTATTCCTATTCCTTCCCTATGCCATGATGATATACTTGGTATTATATTCTATCTCACATTTAATACTGAATTTAATTTTTAATCTTTATGACGTTCATTTTAATGTCTGATTTGAGATACAGATAGACTTTTTTCCCCTCAAATGACTAAGTTATTCATCTTGACACCATTTATTAAATGTTTTATGCTTTCTCTACTAATTTCATACACCTCTAAAAGCATTACATGTTAATATGTAAAGATTCTAAGCGTGCTGAAAATTTTATGATTTACAATTAATTCTTGCTCATTCCAGAAAATTTTGAAGTACAGAAAAACATGAAAAAATTCATTCACAGCATTACCTAACAAAAACAACTGTTAGAATATGGACTATTTTCTTTCAGTAGCTGTTTTTTCTCTTTTCACATCCTCTCTTCCTTTAACATTTTAATTAATTAAAATTCTGATTTTTCCTTTGAAAATGAAAACTTTAAAGATTAAATTCATAAGACTGTCACATGTGAATTCTTTGCATTATATAAGAAATCTGCATTTTGTGCTTAATGAGCAGAAATTTATAATTGATCCACAAGTTGAAATCTTGAACAGTAGTTCATTTTTCTGTCCAAGTTCTTTATCTTATGTGTCACTTAAATCACAGATGGTTGCTTATCTGTTTCTGATGTATGGCATGGGATTATTGAGAACACTTCTTTATTTTATTATTCTGAAAATAGAAAGATATCAGAGTCCCATGCTTATATTTTTCTAAGTTTAAACCTGTAAATGATATTGTATGTAGCTGCTCCAACAAAGATTAGCCAGGCCAGGTGTCTGGCCCTCCCTTGTGAATCACACTCATGAGCCAGATACACATATGTAATATGTTAATGGGACCCCGTCTCTTCCCAGGCTGGGTTTGGGTTTTTTTTTTTTGGTTTTTTTTTTGGTTTTTTTTTTTTTTTAAATTTTATTTATTTGACAGACATCACAAGTGGGCAGAGAGGCAGGCAGAGAGAGAGAGAGGAGCAAGCAGGCTCCCGCTGAACAGAAAGCCTGATGTGGGGCTCAATCCCAGGACCCTGGGATCATGACCTTAGCTGAAGGCAGAGGCTTTAACCCACTGAGCCACCCAGGCACCCCCCAGGCTGGGTTTTATATTGAGACTGATACCTCTGGGACCTGGGTGGCTCAGTCGGTTAAGTGTCCCAACTTTTGATTTCCAATCGGGTCATGATCTCAGGGTCGTGAGGTCGAGCCCCATGTTGGGCTTCACGCTTAAGATCCTCTTTCTCTGCCCCTCTGCCTTTCCCCTCTTTCTAAATAAATAAGATTGATACTTCTACAGTAAATAGTCTTACAAATTGCCAAGAAAAGGAGAAAATCTAAAAAGAAAGAAAAGAACTTCAAAGTAAGTGTTATCACATGTGTCCTTTTGCTTCACAGTTTGCTGGTCACCTCCATGGGGCACATAAAGCTGACCGATTTTGGATTATCCAAGGTGGGACTAATGAGCATGACTACCAATCTTTATGAGGGTCATATCGAGAAGGATGCTCGAGAGTTCCTGGACAAACAGGTAGGCTTGGCTGCAGCTCAGCTGGAGAGAGAGAAAGAAAAAGTACGCTATTGCCACTGACATTCAGAATCAACTTTGTAAGCCAGGTCTGCATTAGGACTGGGCGTTTAGATGTCTGTATGAGCCTTACGTTTAATAAAGTGCAAATTGCTTCCATTTTTCTCCCTGGGCCTCTTTGAACTGTCCGTTCCTCCACATTCCTCCCCCAGCATTATGGTCTATTAGCAAGACGAACGATGTAATTGCACACAAGTGAGAATCTGAGAGAGACAAATGGAAAACTGTTTTTGTAAGGAATTCAGGAGTCTCAGCAGAGTACTCATGAAACTCATGATGCATTGTACAATCACGGGTGCTAAAATCCGAGCCATGGCCCATTTCCCTTTAAGCATGCCTCATTACCATGTGCCCACAATCTGTTCATTGTAAAGTTACTTAAGGTAAACATATCTCAACTGTCATGCTTTTCTGAAGTAACCAGGATGTGACTCTATTTTGGTCATATAAATACTAAAATTATCTGTGGTGGTGACTGATTAAACATGTATCATTATATTAACTTTGAGGATTAAAAATGTTTTTAATACTAAAAAAAAAAGTTTTTAATACTGTGAAATAAGTGAAACCACCAAATAGCGTCAAACCTTCAATTCAAAATTACTCATTACACATAGTTTAACATTGCAGCAGCATTTTAAATTTCCCTTTTTTGCTGTTTAAATATTTCATTGCCTTTGGTGTTATGGATACTGACTTGTAATTGCTGTTCCTAAGTTCTTCATCCATTTGGATCTCTGTGGTTGAGCAGGTGCGCTCTGGGCAAAATAATTGGTGTGTAGCCATCTTGCTCATTTTAATTCATGTCTAATATTCCAATTATTCTAATATTGCAATCATCTTTTAGGTCTGTGGCACACCTGAATACATTGCACCAGAAGTGATTCTGAGGCAGGGCTATGGGAAGCCAGTGGACTGGTGGGCCATGGGGATTATCCTCTATGAATTTCTGGTTGGATGCGTGCCATTCTTCGGGGATACTCCAGAAGAGCTATTTGGACAAGTCATCAGTGGTAAATATCATCAGGCATTCTCTTCCAGTGGCTGTTGGGAAACAGCTATTTCATGCAATTCTGTGGAGTACTGCCATTTTAACTACTAAAATGTTAACCTTTATCAAACAGTTTAGCCAACACATTAAAAGAACTCACTCATCATAGCCCATAACTGACTTTCACAAATCTCAGGGGATCAATTTGTGTTGAAAATTGATCTGAGGAAGTTTCATTAACATGGAATTTGGAAATGTACGAGCAGTGTGACCAGTTTTTATGTGTGCTTTTCTGCAAAAGAAATTCACGTGGGATTTGTAAATTATTTCATTGCCGTCCAGTCTTCCTTTCTATAATAGGAAAGTTGCACCAGGGAAGAAAAGGTTAATGTGGGTAGCATTTACATAAATGGGGGAAAATGGCTAATGACACAATGAAGAAATTAACAAAAATGTAATAAACCCTAAAACAAATGTCTACCAAATAATAAATAATGAGAATGGGAAGGAAGCAAATTTAATCCACAGATTGTTAATGATTTCATTGGTGGTTGTTATGGTGTAATGTTATTTCTGTAACAGCTGTTCATCTTTCATTTAAAATTCAATAACCTTTAGATCTTAACCTGCACGCTGACCCTCACTATTGTTATGCGGCTTGTGGCAAAACTAAATGATAATTAAATAGGCTCTATTACTACCCTACCTGCTGTTTTTATAAATTTCCCCGAAGCATAGATCAGAAAGGCCTCTCCTCCTCAAAGCTTACCAGTTATCGCTGACACCCGCATCACCCACTCAACCACCTTTTGGACTGTGCTACAAGGTCTATCAGTGGAAAGAGAGGGAAAATTTGTGGTGGTATGAGGAGTCCCTTAATCACAGCATTATTCTTTATCGTTGACTTTGCAAGCCAGGCATATTTGTAAACTTTAACAAAGTAGATTTGTGGGTTGCCTGCAGTGTATAACCCTTTTCTACAATATCTGAGCTGTTTATGGATTTATAACTAGGCTGTTTTCTGATAGACCAAGGCCTGAATGGCAAGAGGAATCAACTGTTTAATTAACACAAGCAGCAAATGCTGGCTTTGTTCTCTGTGCCTTACGGCTCAGATGCATATTCATGTTTTATTTTCCAAATCAGATTTAAACTGCAGCAGAGGAAGCTGGAGGCAGGCACACACAGAAATAACTCATGTTTTTATTGCATTTCCATACACACAAGCACGCACACCTTATCTTCAGGCAAACTCCTGTGGAATGTAGAACATATTCTAATATTTATGACAGACTTTAAATACTTCCATTATTACCGTGATTACTTTGGATTTTTTTGTCTCCAAGCTTAACACTTTGGCCTTTCGTTTGTCTCTAGAAATAGTTATTTTTGCAAAATTAATTTGTGCTTCTGGAAGCGGAAGAGCTCTAAGGGCAGGGCCAAATTCACATTTGAGAATAGTAAGAAAGAAAAATCATACTCTCTTGATTGCCTGGAAGGGCAACCATCTAAAACACAGGTGTTAAGAGTTTTTACCATATTAAGTCCTCTTAATAACTAGAAGGAATAATTTGTTTTGAGCCAAGTCTGCCAAAAAGAAAAAAAAAAAATTCAAAGCATCAAAAAAGCAAATAAATGGAAGATACTGGTTATTGAAATATTTTCTCCCTGCCTCGTTGTAAGCTATGCTGGTTCATGTCTCATGAAACAATGCTCCTCAAACTTGATTGGCCCAGAAATCCACTGACAATCCTGTTAAAATGCAGATTCTGACTCAGGCTGGGATGGAGCCTGAAATTCTCTTTCTGTAATAGACTCCCAGGCCTCCTCCCAGCTATTAGGACCCAGACTGCCATTTGAACAATAAAGTTGTAAATGACCTATCTCCCTTCCAGATGAGATCAACTGGCCAGAGAAGGACGAGGCGCCGCCCCCTGATGCCCAGGATCTGATTACCTTGCTTCTTAGGCAGAATCCCCTGGAGAGACTGGGAACAGGTTAGAGCACATATGTTTTAATTGTGCTAATATGCAAAAAATAATGTCTTTGTGGAGCACTCAGAGGTCTTTGTTTGTGGGTTGTTTTTTGTTTTTTTTTTTTTGCATAAGAAACATCTGTTGGTTGATGTAGGACATGACTACAACACATCATAACAATAATATTTTGGATTTTTTTCTGAGAGTAGTGTGTACACTAGGAAGGCTGGTGGTGGTTTGTCTTTGATTTTTGTTTTTCTTGTTTTCGTCTTTTTTTTGCAAAGCAAAAGTTATTCTTTTTTTTTTTTTTTAATTTATTTGACAGACAGAGATCACAAGTTGGCAGAGAGGCAGGCTGAGAGAGAGGAGGAAGCAGGCTCCCCGCCGAGCAGAGAGCCCGATGCGGGGCTCGATCCCAGGACCCTGGGATCATGACCTGAGCCGAAGGCAGAGGCTTTAACCCACTGAGCCACCCAGGCGCCCCATTCTTTTTTTTTTTTTTTTTAAGATTTTATTATTATTTGAGAGAGAGAGAGAATGAGAGAAAGCATGAGAGGAGAGAGGTCAGCGGGAGAAGCAGACTCCCTGTCAAGCAAGGAGCCCAGTATGGGACTCGATCCTGGGACTCCGGGATAGTGACCTGAGCCAAAGGCAGTTGCTTAACCAACTGAGCCACCCAGGCACCCGCAAAAGTTATTCTTAATTTATTTCAATAAATAAAATTGGTCTGGAGGAAAAACTCTGAGGGCGCATAATGGAACTCTTCTATCCTGAAAAATATGCATCTTAAATAAATTAAAACAGAGGATTTGAGATGTAGAGCTTTTTTGTTTGGATTTTTTAAAAAATACATATATATTCCCAGAAAGATTTGACCTAGCCCGTTAACTATTTATAGACTTTGAAATGGTTTATCAGTACTTGAACTAATTAATTACTAGAAATGAGTGTCAGGGGTTGAACCATGCTGTCTCATCATGGTGATCAGCACCCTAGCCCAAGAAAGAGGATTAAAACCATTAGCTTTCAAGATTAAGGAGATAATATAGATTTGTTTCTTGCTGTTTATTTTTTTCCCCGACTGTTTTACTCAGAGTTTTTTTCTGCTTCTCCTCTTCCTTATATTCTGAATAGACAGAGATCCCAATATAGAGTTCCAATCTGCCCCAGTATTATCTAGATGGGGCTAAATATTAAAATATAAATATAAACACCACACACACACACACACGCACAGGCACGTGCACACTGTGGATAGTTTCCATAATTTTCAGCAATGAAAATTGTTGACTTGATGGAATATTTACTCTGAGCTGTTTCATTCTACTTCATTATAATAGAAATATCAGAAAATGCTGAACAAATCATTCTCTCCCTCAATTTTTCCAATAACTCCTCCAAATACACACGTTACTGTCCATGTTTGCTCACAGCGTCCCCCAGATGGAGGGCTCCATTCTTGCTTAAGTGTGCTGTGCTACTAGAGTTGATGATGATGCATTGAAACCCATAGATCATATTCTTACCTTGTAAATAAAGTTTTATTGAAACACAGCAGTGCCATTCATACACATTGTCTGTAGCTGCCTTCATAGTACAGTGGCAGAGTTGAATCCTCAAACTGTATGACCCACAAAGCCCAAAGTATTTACTGTTTGGCTTTATACAGAAAAATCTTGCTGACTGCATTAGTGAATCAAAGAAGACTGAAACTCTGGCCTTCGCTTAGGAAAACGTTTTTGAGTTGAGCCTCCTTCTGGCGTACCGTGTGCCTGTATGCCTTTTGCAGTGGATGAGTGGGCCTTCGGCGAAGAGTGGAGATTAAGGGCACAAACTCTACAGTCAGATTGCCTGAGTTTAAATCTCTGCTGTGTGACTGTGGGCAGGATGTTTCCTTTCCTGTGCCTCATTTTTTCATCTGTAAAATGGAGCTTAGAGAAGTACCATCTAACAGGATTACCGTGAGGATGAAAGATCACCCATTCTGGCTCTTAGCACCAGGTCAGACACTGCTGCCACTGGTACTGTCATTTTAATTTCCTGCCCGTATAATCTGGTACTTTCCCCTGTGGATGTCTGAGATCCAGCAATGGTGGTGGTGCCCCCACCTTTGAGCTGATTGAACTCTTTGGACAGAATATATTTCTTCCCACCCTATTTGGTGTTCCTTTTGTCTGAAGCAACTAGCAAAGTTGTTCTCCCTACCTGCTGTGACCTGCAGTCACAGTTGCTTTCTGGCCCCAGAGAGAGGAGTCGCAGTCAAAGAATCCATGCCAAGCTTTGACTAGGGCAGAGTTTGGAGGAGTGATTTTTTACTCACTTGAGCCAAATAGGAGGAGCAGTGGCATTTCCACCTTGTCCTGCAACAACACAAATATCAATGTCCGCGTCCTACTCAGCTGTCCTGGACAAGCGTTGTCCTGAGATATGACCAAAGATAACAATAGAATTGGCACGTGCCTTCCCAAGAGCCCGCTTCTCTTCAGTGTTCTTGGGTCAGTTTGGAGAGTTTTCCCACTGAGTCTTCTGCCTGTTTCCCTCCTCGGAGAAGACCGGGAATCTTGACTTCAACAAAACAGGGCCATGATGCTGGTCAGCATGCCCGTCTTTCTATATTCTATGCTGTGAGTTATCTCTCTGTGCATTGTCTTCCTGACTGCTACTTGTGTTCTTTTCAGGGCTTGACAGTTAGAGATGTGAATCTCCTAGCAGAAGCTCAAAAGAGACATTTAAAAGACCCTGCCCAAGCTCTTAGCATTTCAGGAAGTACTTGCCAAACAGGCGGGTCCAACGTGACAGATCCCAGTAGGGCCCGGAGAATGAGGCTGAGAACCCCGCAGGCCTGCCATGCTGCTTCCAGTGACAGCATTTTGGATTTAATGCATATTTAGCAGGCAAAATAATGCACCGTGAAAATGTGTGAATTCACATTTGCCTGAGAGACTAGAGAGGCTAAGAAAAGGAGTGTGAAGAACATAATGGATGTTTAAGAAACTTCCATGAAAGGAGAGAAAAACGTAAGGGAGAACATTAGTGTGAAGCATAACTTAGAATTTGGAAACTAGGCCTACTTGGACTAGACTTTTGAACTTGTGAGCTATTGAGCAGCAGCCTGTTTTATTGGACTTTATAGGTCTAATAAGGTGACTGGCTCCCTACCGTGTACCAGCTGAGAGGTCTAGAGTAGTTTCTTCATGATCTAGGTCGCAGTTTCCTAATCTAGGGACATGGGCATGTTACCATACCCCTCGCAGGATGATTACGAGGACTGAAGGCGAACACGGTCATGAAGCGACCAGGTACATTAACGTAGTGCATCACAGGAGCTCCAGACATAACCGTTCCCTGTCCTTCCCCGCGTGGTGAATCCTTACAGTGAGCACTGTCCCCTGCATGAGTTCCGGGGCTCGATCATTTTTTTCAGGCTCATAATGCCATCATCTGCCTTGCCCCAGCAGCTTAGCCCAGAGGTCATTTCTCCCCACTCTGTCCTTTTAATTCTTTTGTTCCCCATCTCGGCAAAAGTGCACGAGAAACAGGACTCCGTGGTCAAGGAACCTCTTCTTGGGGCAGGGGTGGGAGAGTAGGGGGTATGGCACAAAGGCCAAAGGGTGAGAAATGTGAGCTGGGTTACCCGTGGGCTGTGACCCTGTGGGGACGACCCCTTGTCGTCATCCACAGAGATGAAGTGAATGTCCTCCCCAAGTTGGCTTCCAAAGAGTGCCAGGTGGAGGGATGAGAACCCCAGTCCTCCCGCTATGGTCCGGAAGTGCCCTGTGAGCCCTTGGATCTAGAGAACTGTGCTTCTCTGAGTAAAGCTGAGTGACCTGGGAGTATCCTCTGTCATCATTGTGTCCCCATGAGCAGGAGTGGAAGTGAGAGTCCTTGCAGCATGGTATGTGGTACGCCGCTTGGTAGGGCTTGACCCTGTGGACCTTAGTGTCGTAGGCACAGTGAGGGAGCTGGATAGATGTTGAAGATCTTTCAGCTTCTCTGAGATAAGAACGCTGGAAGAGAGTGTGTCTGGCAGCTCTGTGTGGGTGTGTTGGCATTGTGACCCCGAGGACGCGCCTGGCTGTTTTTTAAACAGACTTCAGCTCAGCCTCTCCACGCTTTACTTAATAGGCACTCGTGGTCCAGTATGCTTTCTCCCTTACACGTTGTTTCCCCATCCACACATGGAGTTGACACAATGCTTACTTTGCGGGGTTGCTTTCAGTGTTTTAATGAAAGGAAACTAGATGCCTCTAGCGTGTAGTGCAGTCCTTGTCCAAGTCAGCCCTCCCACCGGAGTTGCTCGCGTTACTGCCGCTGTGGTCGAGGTCAGACTCCAGTGTTGTGTTGGAAAAACGAGGAATGCTTAGTAACAAAAAATCTCTTCTTCATTTCTTGGGGTGATTTTCCCACTTTGCTTTTTTCTCTCCATTGTTCTCCATACACCGATTGGTCCTGGCTGGGTTTGGGGCCCTGACCTGCCCCCTGTGCTACAGCAGCCTGATGGGAACACGGCCCCATCTCTGAACCACGTAGACAGCTCCCCCACCCCAATACCCAGAGCCATTTCTCCTTCACTTTGCATTTTTCCTCCTCTTTTCTCATACTGCACAGAGAACAGGGTGGGAAACATGGTGACAAGGGCATGAAAGAGGCATTTAAGTCACCCCTACAGGGTGTCTCCTGGGAGGGAGGCGATTAGAACCTCTGTTAGTCTTGTGTGAAATCTCTCTTCCTGGTGTTTTTTTCAGGATAGAGTCTTCCTTCTCTCCTTCCTCAACAGTGTGGGCGGGCGGGAGGTTGAGGGGATGGGCAGGCCAGAGGCCTGATGCTCACACTGTGACTGTGGGCCTTCTTCTCTTTCCTGGGGTAGAGTATGATATTTGGTGGGGCTTCCCCTTCCAAATCCTCTTTTATGAACTGAGGGATGCCTGGGTGGCTCAGTTGATTAAGCGTCTGCCTTTGGCTCAAGTCATGATCCCAGAGTCCTGGGATCAAGTCCCACATTGGTCTCCCTGCTCAGCAGGGAGTCTGCTTCTCCTTCTGCCTCCCTCCATGGCTATGGTCTCTCTCCCCTTCTCTCTCTCTCTCTCTCTCTCTCTCTCAAATAAATAAATAAAATACTTTTTTAAGAGAGATACTTTTAAAAATAATAAAATAAAACTGTGGAATGAATTAAAAACATTTTACTGAATTGCGTAGTCATGCTGACTTGGGGGGAAAAAAAAGCCTAAACTTAAGAATTGTGCCTGCTTTTCATCCCATCCTTTATAGATCTATCAAACAGGTTTGCCAGTTTCTTACCTAAAAATCTGTAACCCACAGCGTCAAAGTCCTACCTATATTAACAAGCAAGCCAGTAAAATTGAATGGAAACCATTATATACTTTTTAGGAAAAATTCATCTTTATTAACCTCGCCTCCAGAGGAAATATTGCTGTGAACACATTTTGCGCTTTGTTAGAATTTCTTTGGTTTTGTACTGGGCAAGTCTGCTTTGAGCCAGTGTGCGTCCACATCCCCAGATTCGACGTAATGTGGTTTTAAGTGGCCGCATCATTAACCTTTGAAAAATGGAGGAAGTCATGGAAAAATTAACAAAGAAACGTGTGCTGTAACAACTGCTGTTAGCAAAATCAAATCCTCTGCTGATAAATTATGGGGAAGAGATTCTTTTATGGGGCGTGTTGGTTATAGAATAACAAAGTAAGGTTTCCATGATTCTTTGATTTTTCTGTTGCTAAATTGGGGGGTGGGGTGGGTGTTGTTCTTAAAAGCTTTGCTGGAGGGTAGTTTAACATCTCCCTCTCTGTCCTTTCCCTCCCTCCCCGCCCCAAGGTGGTGCTTATGAAGTCAAACAGCATCGATTCTTCCGCTCTTTAGACTGGAACAGTTTGCTGAGACAGAAGGCAGAATTTATTCCCCAGCTGGAATCCGAGGATGACACAAGTTATTTTGATAGTACGTGAATTATCTGACATAAAACATTGTTTGACCTTTACTTTGGTAGAAAATTATCTCCACTTAGGGTAGAACCCTCTAGTCTTGAACCTGTGAGTTCTTACACATAAGGCTGCTTTGATATAGGAGCTCCTAATTACTGTATCTAAAGTAAAAGCTGAAATGCTGAGTAATTGGAACCATGCCCAAACATTTCCCTGCAGCTCGGTCAGAGAAGTATCATCACATGGAGACAGAGGAAGAGGATGACACGAATGATGAAGACTTTAATGTGGAAATAAGGCAGTTTTCCTCCTGTTCACACAGGTTTTCAAAAGTAAGTGAGATGTGGCATAAACATGCAAGGTCTCCCCAGAGAATCTCCCTCAGACCCGATAGTGGGCATCCCTAAACAGCTGGACAAGATCATAAAAACCACCTACAGCATTTTTGGGCTTGGGGTCTCCTATACTTAAAATTCCTTGGAGTTTCGGAAAAGTGAATGACCCCACCATCCTGATAATCCAGAGTTCCTACCAGCTTGTCACACTCTCCATAGATGGGTATGGTTTTTTTTGGAGGCCCAGATTTGGACTTGGAGTACTATCTTCAGAGAACACCATAGCCATATATATGCAGACCTCGCCCTGCAGGACCAAGTCTAGTTCAGTGCCAGGCAGTAGAGGAATTTCCTACTTCTCTGATGCTTCATTGAAGAATGTTGAGCTAGAGTCCTTGTGTACACAGCCCCCTCTTACTATCACAAGAATACAACGCAAGGGAGCAGTCAGAGTCCTTGACATCAGCTAGGACCCTTGGGGATAGTTGCTGTGGAATGGGAAAGTCTTGTAGTCAGTAATAGAAAATGTTAAGTTACATGACAGAGGCCAGATAAAGCCAAGTTAGAGTTTTGGAAATGGGAGAAGGTAAAAAAATCAATGTCCAACAAGGATACTTCTTCCCGAGAGTGGTAATGTGAAAAAAATTCTTACCACTCACAAAGAAATTGGACAGTCCTGAGACCAGACAGGGCCCTAGGAAAATGGAAGGGCTTCTGGAGGGCCCCCTTCTCCCTTTTGTGCTTTTCAGTAACTATGCAATCCCTGTTTACATGGCGTTTTGCGTGTTGATTGTTCAGATCTTCTGTACCATGTAGGGCTTATGAAGTGTCCTTTTTTGTACATGACTACTAGATAGATAGATAGAGCGTATCTGCAAATGGGCCGGCACTGCCTTCACTGTTTAAAGGAAGGCCATGGAGAGGTAGGGGTCTCCTTGCAGGGTCTGCTGGCCAGCCCGTCCAGAGCCAGAACTGAAGCTTTGCTTACCCTGAGGACAGGCTTTCCCCCGTGCCTGTGCTCTGGCCCATCCAAGCTGGGCCCTAGACTCTGTTCCCTTCCCGCTGTCTCCTGTGCGTTAGTCACCCTGGGCCTCACCACAGTACATGATATGCCATCTAAGGGCCACTCCCATGAGAGCAGCAAGGGGCTGTGTTGCATGGTGTGGAGTGCTTCCTGCCCTGGGCTTTCTGCTCCCAGTTTTTCTTTCCATCTTTCCTGTGGGACAGCAGAGATCTCAGGTCTCCCTAAGCTCTGCTCCCCTTCAGAAACACCGGTCCCGTCTTAGGAAACTGCCTGTGTGTGCATGTGATTTATAATCCAGACAAACCCCTCTGACTCAGAACCAAACGTGCACTGCCTTCCCCCACACATACATCTTGAACCAGGTAATTTATTCTTCTCTTCACACTCAATTCCAGTTCATTTCTCTCCTTCCCGCTCCTGACTGGTGGTCGTTAAATCTTTTTCTCTGTGATTTTCTTTTTCTGATAGACTTCATGGTTAAAAAGTCATCTAAGTTGTGCATTGATCCCAGGACTTAGAAACCCCAAAGCATCTGTGGACTGTGTTTGCAGATGCAAAGTCCATAATGAGATAGGGCGAGAGGGTGATGACTTCATAACTCCCCACTCCAAGGAGAAAAAAATAGATCCACGGCCCATTCATCTCAGGACTCATGTAAATAGCATCGGAAAGTACCTTCTGTATACACAGTCCCAGCTGAAACTTTAGTCGTGCTCTCAGATTTTCTCCCCAAGTTTGGGGTTTTTCTGACAAGCTCTTTCGAAAAGGTTGTAATAAACCCCAACACTTGGCCTCACAGGTTTTCAGCAGCATAGACCGAATAACTCAGAATTCTGGAGAAGAGAAGGAAGACCCCGGAGACAAGACCAAAAGCACTGTGTTGCCGTCCACAGAGACGTTCAGCTGGAGTTCGGAATATTCTGAAATGTACGTGAAATGCCTGTTAAGGGTCGTAAGCGGTCGCTACGAGTGCAGTGGTTCTTCAGGCTGAGCGGGCATTGGAATCTCCTGGAAACCCTGTGAGAACACAGATGGCTGGGCCCGTCCCAGCATGTCTGCTCCCCTAAATTGGGGATGGAGGCCGGGAAAGTGCCTTTGGCCTAAGGTCCAGGGGATGCTGTTGCGTCCGGTCTGGGGATTGCGCTGTAAGAACCACTGCACTAGACACGCGTTGGTTAGCATGCCCTCAGTTCGATTTTTACCTCATTTCTTCCCAGAGTCTCCTCGAACACAATTTCCTAGTGTGTATGCATACATGCCTCTGTTTTGTTTTTAATTAAGGCAACAGTTATCCACATCCAACTCTTCAGATACTGAAAGCAACAGACATAAACTCAGTTCTGGCCCACTTCCCAAACTGGCTATTTCAACAGAGGCAGAGAAAGATGAAGCTGCTCCCTGCCCCAGAGACCTGCTGGAGGAGCCAGAAAAGCCATCCCTTCCTCCTGCAGAGTGCACTCAGGAGGAGCCCGAGGTCACCACACCAGCCAGTACCATCAGCAGCTCCACACTGTCGGGTAAGCACCTGGGCGTGCTGCCTGCCGTCCACCCAGTATCCACCAGCTGGAGGGGTCAGGGCTAGGGTTGGAATCCCAGGCGACTTCCCTAGGCGGTGATGATGGCTGTTCTGTGCCACTCTGCTCCCTCCTAGGCCCCAAGTCTAGGACTCGGGGGCATCGGCTCTTATGAACTGAGGTCACCCCTCCCGACCACATGGCCAGAGAGTGAACCCTCCTCACTTCAGTTTGGCCCAAGAGCCAGCCTTCGCTTTCACAGCTGGGCTTCAATGGGGTTCTCGGATGGCAGTCAGAACACCCTAGGACCATGTTGTGTTTTCTATTGTTGATGCAAAAGCAGGTCTCGCACAGTGGTGTGTAAGTCAAAGTTGGGAATCAGGAACTGTATCAGACAGTGACATGTTCAAAATTACCCTCAAACATGGCTTCAGTCACCCAGAAGTTACACTATAAAGGCAGCTTTCCTTCCGGTGTTGCAGTGGGTGGTGGTTTCTTGGAAAGAGTTGGTTTTGGTCATGGGGCCATGTTGTGCCAGATAACTTCCATATATCCACACTAGACTCTTAGCACAGCAAGATACTTATTCTGTGAGATTCCCAGGTGATCTCCATGCATCTAGGACAAAGAGGAGGAGGAGAGAGTAAGAAATACCAACACAATTCAAATTGGTGTTTCATGCACATATGAAAGGATCCTGCTGCAGGCACAAGTTACCATTCCAGTCCTACCAAAACTCCACAGACATGGGTCACTGTTGGTGAGGCAGTCCAGGGAGATTGGGCTTTTCTTGGAGAGTGCTTTACAGTGTCACTTTTGTGTAACATAACATTCCTGACAGCAGAGACAGTATCTTCAAAGGATTTTAAAAGGCTTACTGTGTCATTAGGTGATCAAACTTGCATTTCCCTCAGACCCAGCCAAGAGCACTTAAAATATTACTTGGTTTACAACAACTGTTTGCACAGCATATCCTTCCACAAAGAAGTGTGCATTTATGCTTTTTTTTTTTTTAAATGAAACGTGGATATGGCTTAGGGTTGCTATGATAAATGTTTTCATTAAGCTATATTCAGTATACTGTATGGATAACCATGAATGATTCCAAGAATTTTTATGAATTTTTTTTTAATTTAACTGAATATTCCCAGCATAACTCTTTTTAAAATCATTTCAAGAAAACATACCTTACAACTTAGGTTTATTTCAGCCTCGCTGAAAAGTTTGCTTCCATGGAGCTTTTCATGTGCTTCTGGTTTATCATAGGGAAAAATAATGTGGGTTTGTTTTTTTTTTCTTTCTTTCTTTCTCCCTCTTCCCCTCAGTTCTGTTGCCATGTAGAATAATTCCCCTTATCTTTATTTTTTTATAAAGCCAAGGGAATAGCGACGTAGAAGTAGTGTAGACACAACCTAGTGGTCCAGGATTCTTAATTCTTTTTTGTTTGTGTAGGTAGTCAAGCCAAATGGAATTATCTCAGTATTTTGTATTTCTGGTTACTAAGGTCTCTGTTTCCTAGTTTATGATCATGCTCTGAAGAGAGTGTACTTAGCTCCATTTAAATTTTTTTCTTAATACAGTAGATCACTTAGTCTCCGTGCCCTGGTCCCCATCAGCAATGTCGAAGGGAAAGGGAGGGAGATGGTGTCTAAGCAGTTGATTGATTACTTTCATAATTAAAAAAAAAAAAAAAACTGCTAGGTCCTGCCGTGCATTTTGATTAATTGATTCAAACCACCTTTCTGTCTCCCCCATATACACACTAAAAATAATCAAAGACCTTGGGGGCTATACAGAATAGAGAGATGAGCTGATCTGCTCATGGCCAAGGGTAATTAGGAAATCTGAAAACCGTGACTGTAGTAAAATTAAATTTGTTGATTTTTATATTGCTCCACCATCAAAAAGAAGGAACCCTTGACATTTACAGAACATTAAGGTGACATTATCCACCATTGGCAGAACAGAAATGCACGCTTATACCCAGGGCTATGAAATGAGATGGTGGATGCAGGAGGGAGGGATGATAGAAAAGAATACCATACATTCACGTGCAGACCTTTAGGGTAGTAGAGCTTTACACCTCTTTGTTTTCCTTCATGACTCTGTTGCTTTTGAATGGGTGAAAAGTAAAAGTCCTGAGGTCTTGGGTGTATTACTCGCTGTGAAGAGATTCAGCTTTTCATTTTGCATTTGTCAGGGATCCCACCCACCCCGATTAGCAAAGAGAAGAGCGTGTGACTTACCCGAAAGGAAGCTTACGGATTTTGAGATGAGGTGTTTCATTCGTGACACGGTATTCATCAAGTCCTTGAGCTGTTGATTCCTTTATTTAGAGAGCGCAGAGTAGATGTGTTGAGCGGATGGGAGCAGGAGGGCTGCTGATACCTCCCTTAGGATTGTCCTCCTCTGTAGTTCACGTGGATGTCACATGGATGTCTGAATCTTTTTCTGCACCCACAGCACTCTGCCAGATCCCAGCTTCCCTTAGCGAGGACCCCACCTCTAGGGCGGGTGCCCCTTCTGTACACAAAGGCCAAACTCGAGCTATGCCATTGAGTGGTACGGTCAGCAGCAGAACAGCGATGTGAGCTAAGTCTTATCCAGTCTAACCCTTTCCCCGGCCAAGAGTGTCATGTCCTTTAAAACCTGTCGACTGGGCTTTCAAAGGGTCATTTGTAATGGTCATTTGTATCAGATTCTCTGCATGGATTGCAAACCTTAAGGTGATGATCGTCTTGACGGTTTTTAAAGCACGGGGTGGGGGAGGCCTTGTAACACAGCATTTAGAAGTCGAAATGAGATAAACATTGCTTTTTCTGGGTAGACAAAGATAAACTATCAATGATTTTTAAAAAAGAAAGAAAACTGGTAGTCTGCAAAAGCAAGAGTTGAAAGAACCAAAAGGGGAGGCTGTTCACCTGTTCTCTGCGGGAACTCCACATGTGACTTCTGCTCAGAAACTTTTACTCTTTGTGTGCCGTTGCCCAGACAGACGTCAGTGATTTTCCAGTTTTGTCGCCTCCTACATGTTTATATTCCCTTGGGATCCCCTCCTGAGGGGAGTCCTAATTTTTTAACTAAAAACAAGGAGACAAAAAGAACACCTCCAGTGTCTCTTAAGGGTTAATAAACAAAAATAAAGAAGGCACAGCAACCTTAGAGGAGAAGGGATCTTACCACGGGTCTCATAACTTCAGGACAGAGCCAATGACACACTGCCTAGAGGAAAAGCCAGGAGGATGTAGAGAGCCACTGAGTAACATAGGGGGTAATAGGCTTTGTCATCCTGTGAGGTTTGCAAAGAGTGGAGAGCATAAGGGGGCATATGGCATGAGAAGTCCAAGGTGACACCTCCGACACTCTTCTATCAGTTTAAGTGTGGGCCTAGTAAAGGTGTGTTCTGGGAAGATGGTACGAGGTGACACAGGCATAAGTCTACACGAAGACATGAAGTGATGTCCACTTACCACAAAGCAGCATTGTCCACATTATTAAGAGCATTGCTAAGGTTGATCACTAATATCACATGATAATCATATTAGACAGCAGACGGTCATGGTGTTGATAAGGTGGTGCTGGTTTATAGCATGGCCTTCCGTGGGTTGGGAATGAGGGGGAGGAGTTGTCACTACAAGGGTTGAAAGATAGAGATTCTAGAAAGGAATGAGTCTTCTAGGTAAGGGGAGTCACGGGCTGAGAATAAGCAGACTCGTGGACAGGTAGAGTGACACCTGAATGGACGCCACTTTCCTCTCCCTCTCTTCCACGTCCCCTTTCTCCAACTGGTCATGTCTGTAATGTTTGCCTGACACCATAAGGCCCGTGAGCCACAGGGGAGGACGTTTCCCAGTTTGTTCTTCCTTCCCTCTCTCTTCCCCTTTCCCCACCTCTCCGGTCCCAGATTTCCCTGAACGTGTTTATCCCTTCTTCTTTGTGCAGTTGGCAGTTTTTCAGAGCACTTGGATCAGATAAATGGACGAAGCGAGTGTGTGGACAGTACAGATAATTCCGCAAAGCCATCCAACGAACCCGCTTCTCACATGGCGCGGCAGCGATTAGAAAGCACAGAAAAAAAGAAAATCTCGGGGAAAGTCACAAAGTCCCTTTCTGCCAGTGCTCTGTCCCTCATGATCCCAGGAGGTAGAGAGATATCTACTCGCATGAAATTGTGTGATGTGCGCATGGGACCCTCCTTCCCGGGTTCGGAATGCTGGTGGGGATGCAAGATGGCTAGAGGCAATAGCAAGTGCTAGCTGGTTGACCCAGCTGTCCCGGGAGCTTCTCCCTGCAGGAGCTCCGGGCCTCCCAGACAGCATGTGTCGCTGATTTCTTCTGGCTTCTTTCTGCTTTGGGAGATGAGGCAGGCTTCCTTCCCACAATGCCTTCCATCTTATATTTGTTTTCTTTCCTGTTCTGCTCCCCTCTCCCCAAGTTCAGTAGTAAATTTACCTCCTCTGAATAGTTTTTCTTCTCGAGACGGGGCATCATTTATATACTTTACTGAGCTGCTTATAGCATCTGTGTTGGAAAGCTAAGAATAGTTTTTCCTCATCTAATTAATGAGGACATAGACATGGAGGATGTAAGTTTTTCATTTCCAGGGATGCAGAGAGTCACAGACAGTCCTGAAGTTCTACTTTTTCCCAACGCTGTCTGTTGAGCTATGCTTCCTCCTACTGGCAGTCAAATCATTTTCTTCCATGTATTGGAAAATAGAGCTTAATTATGGTTTTGTGGAATTGCAGTATTTTTCCATAACTGGGTTTTGCCTCCACAAATCACCAAGTCCACAGCAATTCCACTGGAAAAGAGGAAATACACACCCTAGTGTTGGTGACTTACTGTTCCAACGGCGGCAAGGGAGTGCAAGTAGCAACTGAATTCTGTTGCAGACGGCTTGCATTGGGAAGAATACAGACCATGTCTAAAAGGAATCATTGATATTCTCAAAATTTCCTGTTTCAAAATTTTCCTGTTTGTGCAGAAAGAAATTTGACAGAAACAACTGCTCCCGTGGGGGTACTGCTCCCTCTAGCATACTCTTTGCTGGGAGACATCCTCTTTAGTACCATAAAACAAACACCTAGTTTGTTGGAATGACTGTTCATAACCCAAAGGCAGTGGCCCCCGAGCAGCTGTGGTGGGGAAGGTAAGTCCGCTTTTGAAAAGTGCTGAGAAGGCCCAAATCTTGGTCAAGTAGAGCAGCTGTTCCATTTGGGAGGGAAGGGATCGGGGACTTGGCTTTCCAGCAGTTTCAATGTGTGTGTGTGTGTGTGTGTGTGTGTGTGTCCACTCTGTCCTGTTCCTGCTTGCTTGGTTCAAAGTTCACTGCCCACTGGTGTGTGTGTCTCCTCACCTGGTCTTTTGACCTTTAGAGAAGAGGCAGCCAGCAAAAGAGAACCAAGATGCCACGTGCAGTCACAAAATGGAGCATGGTAGTGAAACACTTAGCTTTGTCCTACTTTGGCCACACCTAAGAATGGGAAGAAATGATAGTGTGGATAGTTTGAGCTCTCTGTGTCCACAGGGGACTCAGTGCACCTGGTGAGGCTTCAGCAGCCCTGGGGCTCAGTCGCCTGGCTCCCATGGGGCTCACCTTGCAACCTCAGTGTCTTCTCTAGATTATTCTTCTTGTCAAACACACACCCAGTTTCACGTGACCAGTTAAGATCTGTTTAGATTCACATAGATGGAACAGCGATGGCAACAATTAAATTAGAAGTGTGTTTGCTTCTTAAACAAGAAGAACAGAGTAGAATTGGTATTGTGGAAGGTGAACAAAGTTTTTGTTAAAATTTCTCTATTTCACCTGCATTATCCTCTCAGAATCATTGTTAGAATTGTAGGTAACATATGAAGACAATCAGTTGTAGTCAGAGTAATGAGGAGTGATTCGTTGAGAAATTGACATCATGAGTACTAGCTCAGTAATACTGTAGAAAGCAACTGGGGTGTTGATAAATGGCTTTCCTAACCATGCATGTTTGAGAAGAACCGTGTTCAGGTTGTTGAAGGCAAGATTTGAAGTCCAAGGATCTCTTACTCTGGGCCACACAGTATTCTCTGTGTAAAGGCGTACTTGAAATTTGTGCATCTGTGATTTGTTTCTGTAATTAAAATAAAACATGCTAACTAGAACTATCACAGCCAGGTAGGAGCTAGGTTTTGGGTGTGTTTTAATTAGTGTAAGGAAATAAGAAATTAGAACTTCAGAGAATTCATTGAAAAATGAGTTAAAATAGACACTTTTGAAGTTCTCTTAATAGCCTCTGTTCAGAAAGCCATGCTAGTTAGATAAATATTTTTATATTATTTCTTTATGAGACATGAATGGGTTAGTCTTACAGCCAAGCTCCTAGTCATGGCAGGGCTGATGCGTCGTGGGCTGACTGCACGGACGTCTGTGTGATCAGGATCGGCTTTGATGCCTGGCTTCTGTGTCGCAGATATGTTTGCTGTTTCTCCACTGGGAAGTCCAATGTCCCCCCATTCCCTGTCCTCGGACCCTTCTTCTTCACGAGACTCCTCTCCCAGCCGAGATTCTTCAGCAGCGTCTGCCAGTCCACATCAGCCTGTTGTGATCCACAGTTCTGGGAAGAACTATGGTTTTACCATCCGAGCCATCCGGGTGTATGTGGGAGACAGTGACATCTACACGGTGCACCATATTGTTTGGGTAAGACCATCAGCCTCTCATCCTCATTCGTTTCCACTCCCACCCATCCTGGAAAATGAATTAAGTTGGGAGGCCTATCTACGAGCTGTTTTTCCATTAAGCTGACATTGGGGACCTGTTCATGCCCTTTCCCTTTATGGGGGGGGCATTGAATTTAACAAAAACTAATAATTTCTCATAATTCTGTCCAGTTTTCCTGTTTGTCCACTCTGCATAACAAGCTGGTGGAAATTGTCAAAGATTGTCCTCTTGCCACTTTTCTTTTTCGGGGCTTTTTGGTTTTGTTTTTGTAATCTTTTTTCTGGTCTTCTTTTATTTTAAAACAAAACCACCTTCTCCACTCACCTGAAATTTTGTAAGGAATGGTCCTATTTTAGGATGATGACAGAAAAGGAATAATAACCGTGCCTTCTTGATTTCCTCTTAGGAGCTTAGGATCATTTGCTGATAAATTCAGAATATTCTCCCAGAAGAAACAGCAGATGTTAGGGTTGCCATTTGTTGGCTTATGAATGTGTACTCTGTTCTTGGACTTTAGAATGTAGAAGAAGGAAGTCCAGCATGCCAGGCAGGACTGAAGGCTGGGGATCTGATCACACACATCAATGGAGAACCGGTGCATGGACTTGTCCACACGGAAGTTATAGAGCTCTTGCTAAAGGTATTATCTTTTTATGTCCATGCCATACAGGGAAAGCAGGTCATCAGAAAGAACTGGTACCAAGAATTCTCTCCTCAAGTTCTGTAGTTCTTCTCTGTGGTACATACTCAGTCTTATCACTGAGAAAGCTATTTAATAGTCTAAGGTTTAATATAAAGGAGAAGAGAATATGAATTCTCTGGTTATTTATATCATGAAAACCATGTTCTTATATCTGCCCAGTCACTTCCTAATTGAACTTCTTATTCTAAATCACAGATAACAAAAGTTTTTTTGTTTGTTTGTTTGTTTTTTGGGTTTTTTTTTCCCCCCATTTTATGAACCTCCATAGTAAAATCTGTTTGGAAATCACCTATCCTAAGGGTGATTTTCTTCAGGAACATTAAGTAAGTTTTATTCTAGTACAATGGAAGATGAAGTGGTATTAAACTGTGATGTTCAGATATGAAGGTTCATTCTAGTAGTTGAATTTCCTTTGAAAGATGGAATTGTGAATACAGGGACCTCTGGGTGGCTCAGTCAGTTAAGCATCGCACACTTGGTTTCAGCTCAGGTCGTGATCTCAGGGTCATGAGATCGAGCCCCACGTCTGGCTCTGGGCTCATCAGGGAGTCTGCTTGAGATTCTCTCTCTCCCTGTCTCCCCCTACCCCCCACCATGTGCACGCTTGCTCACTCTCAAATAAATAAATCTTTAAAAAAAAAAGAATTGTGAAAATAAGCACATATACCATACATGACAGAAATAGGTAGTAATGGAGGAGGGGGTGGTAGCAATCATAAGGCCTTCCCCCACCTCATACAAATGAATTTGAACGTAAATCATTTTCTGTTTCGAATGTAAGCTGAATAAAGCTTGTAGAGTTAAGATCACAAGAAGCGTGGACATGAGAGGAGGGAGAAAATCTACACTGATCCTCTCATTTCTGTTGAGTTACTTGCTGTGTCACCTGCTGACTGTAGAATATAAAGTTAGAGCTCCAAATATGGATCTTGTAAAAACAAGGATGAAGTTTGTGTTCGCCTGTAAAATCTGTTCAGAAAAAGAAGTCTATGATCAGAAATACAATCTCTATTTGGAGGATTATTTTACACGTCCACAGATTTATGGATGATCTCTTGCTTTTTGAGCACCAAGGGGTCTGTAAGGGACTTCTACACAGAGAGGTATGAGCCATAGCTTCAAATAACCTACAGGGTGTTGAGAGAGCATAAATTTGTATATGGTATTTAAATAATGTGCATTTAGACCATTTTCAGAATACGTGCTCTGAGTCCAGTGCCGGATATAGATGGTAGATGTTGATAACACAGGAATTGTTATAGTCCTTGCCCTTGGGAAGTATGGGAGATGCAGGAGATGTATGGAAGCACGTAAAATTTAACTTAGTCAGAGGGAGGGCTGTCATACTTTCTCAGAGAATATTCTATGAGTAGAGAGACATCACAGAGAAATTTCATTGAATTGAAACATGAAAGAAAATTAGAAATCTAGAAGGCACTACAGAGAAGTGGGTGTGCTAAGCCTCCCCAAAATAAGGGCAGTTTAATGACTTTTCTCCTTTTTTGTCATTCCCACAGCTAATAGGAATATATTCTTCAAAAAATTAAGGGTCTGGCCTAGGTTTTTAAGAGTAGTTAATAGCAGGCATATCCCAAGTTCCATTGTAAAGTAGCAGATTTTAAGAAAGTTATTGCCATTGATTAATTCACATTATTAATGAAATTTGGGTCTTGGGCTCAAAATTGAAGTCTGAAGGGTTGGGGCCTGACGTTGCCGTCATAAATTCCTACAGATTGTTACCTAACACTAGCCAGCTTTCTCACAAATGCATGTATTGGTCACTGGAGGGTTAGGACTCAATATTGAGAGAATGCTGCAGGGCCATAGGCAGTGTTGGAAATCAGCTGAAGGTCGTGCTGAACACATAGCAAATCCGACAGAGCCCTGCAGGGCAGATCTTAACTCTTAAAGCTTTCCATATAATCCCAGCATGCACCCCATACCTGGATATAGATGGGTACCCAGTAACTGTGGGGTTGAGGTGAACAATGGGGTTCTCCTTTTCCTGCTGTCCAAAAGTTACCGTGGGAGGAGCCAAGTACCACACTTCTGCTCCTGTTATGTCTTGACTCATGTCTTTGGGGTACATGCCATTCAGTTCACCATTCAACATTAAATGGCTCGAGTTAGGCTCCGCTTTCCAATGTGCCTACTGAACAGAACAGAAGACATGGCGGGTAAGACCTGAGTTTTTTCATTTCCTTCCCCATCTATCCTTGATAATATTCTTTGTCCACCTGGTGTGCAACACCTCACTCCTAATAAGTGTCCAAGAAATGGGAGGCACAGCAGTGTTGCTGACTTGGAGGTCCTTTGGCTGTGGAAGTCACCTGAATGACTTTGGCCTCTATAGGACAAAATTCTAGAAGGGATATACAGACTCATGAATCTGACCAGCAGCTTCTGTCACAGTCCCTGCTCCTGTGGTCCAAGGCTGCCTCCGTTGCTGGCTCACAGATTGACCCTTTGTGAGGAAGAGCCCAGGGAAGTTGTTTCGGGTCCCCCCGCCCCACTGTCTACATATCCAATATAGAAACCTCTCCACCGAAGAAGCAGGCAGGCAGAGACAGAGGTGTTGTTTATCTATCTCTAAAATGCTCGTTGCTCTTCTCTAGGAGCTCACTTTTTGTTTTAGATAGTAAGTCTGTGTTTTACAGGTGAAGTTCTTTTAGTTGTTATTCATCCGGCTAGAGCTTTTTCAGATCTTGGCATTAGCATTTAAAAGAAGGTCAAAGGGATTTGAAATGGTAACATAGTTTGGCTTTCTGCCTTCCTTGTAACAGCATTGTGTTATATGCCACATGGCTCCAGCCACAGCATATCTTTTTATCATTTCATGTATCTGCTCATAAAATCACAAGAAATAATAAACAAATATGTATGTACATATATACATATATATAAATGTGTGTGTGTGTATATATATCTCTTTAGAAAATACGCATTTGTTTCCTTGGCTGAGACATTTGATGATTTTCATAATTTGTTTTATATTTGATATGATTCAGGATTTTTAAAACTTGCTTCTGTGGAATTTGAATATATATTTCTCCTGAAGGTCTCTGGCAAAGCCTCTTGGCAGAATCCAGTCCCATTTGTAACAGTGTGTCCTCCCCTGGTCATGGAGCACCTTCGTTCCTGGATCTAGTCAGCATGGCTCTGAAATTGCGCACACACACCCGCAGCGTGTTGGAGAGCCCTGGCATCTCTGTCACAGAGCCAACCCGAGGATCCTGCCTCTGGTTCATAAAGGAAGCACTGGAGAGGAGCAACCAGTGTAATGAAATAAAAAGGATACAAGGGATTTAATTATCTTCCCAGTGAACCGTGTAATCATGCAGCTTTCTTCCAAATTTAAGTAGCGGTTCTTGGACAACGCATGAAGTGAGGGATACCCACGCTGGGCTCCCTCATGCCGTCGCTCGTGGAGCACCAGGGTAGCAGCTCTGTTTCGCTCCCTTGGATGCTGCTTCCTTGACGGTTTATACTTGGCAGGCTACTTCGTGAAATGTCGTGGCACCCTTAGGCAAAGGGGGGGGCTGCCGTGTGTCTGTTTAGAAATGCTCATAGAGTACTTACTTAGCTTTTGGAATGTGAACGCCAGAAGCATTTTCCATTTACCATCTTTACCTTTGGTCTCATTGCCTCTCACAACTTGCAGGCAAACCTGCTGGGGGAGCAGGGACTTAGGTCCGCGGTCATTTCACATGGCAGATCCATGGAATTACAGAATCCTGTGCTTCTCCAGGTCAGCACCCCACTGGCTCTCTGACTCCTTAAAGTGTGCTCCTTCACCTTTGCCTCCCCCGCTCTCCTGCCACCAGGAGTTAATCACCTCCTTTCGGCTTTCAGGTTAGCTTTCTCAGAGAACTTCGCCAAAGCAATAAAATCTTTCTCCAGCCACTGCTGTCATAGGTGAAGTCCCTATTGAGGCACATAACAATGTGTCTGGCTTTACCGGCCTAATAGGAAACTCCCAATTCAACCAGGTTGCTTTTTCAGAATAGCATTAGTTTAAATGCCCAGTGCATAAGAGAAGCCCTAAAACTTCATCAGCCCCTGCTTCAGAAATTTATTTTCTATGAACTCTGGGGAACTTTTAGATACTAAAATGAAGACCGTAAGATAGTATCATTATTACCCTCCCTACATATTCACCGAGCCCAGAAAATGTACAGAGCATTGTGTTAAGTCCTGAAGGGTCATACAGCAGAGGACTCCAGGAATAACAGGTCACAGACAAACTCTCATAATCCTTACACCCTGGGAGGTAGGTGCTGTAAATAACAGTGTGTGCCCACTTCACAGATGAAGGAATTAAAGCAGGAGAATGTTAGCTGAGCAGTCCGAGGTTACCTGGAAGAGGGAGCAGAAGAGGGTTTGCACCCTGCTGTGTGGTGTCAAAGCACGTGCGTCGCGTTAGTCCAACCAGAGTGCCCTATACCTGAGGTTCTCTGATTGCCAGTAATGCAGTACAGTGTTCACGTGGAAAAACAGTCCAATATCAGTCTGCAGTCAAAGGCACAGACTGTAAATATGGCCCAAAGTCCATAGGACAGACAACTTAAACTAGGGTAGACAGGGAGGAAGAGTTGGAGGTTACAGGTGGAGAGTTAGAGTATGGGAAGGGAGTGCATTATGGTCTCAGTAGAGCAGAGGGAGTGTGTGCAGTCAGAAGGGCAAGAAAACTCAATGTGCTTGAGGTACATGAGTAAACGAGCGTGGCAAGAGCCTGGGTTTGTATATGGGTTGGGGTGTGCAGGTTGGTTGGAGCTGGATTGTAGAGGATGTGAAGCAGAGCAAAGACATTGACCTACAGAACGCGCAACAGTCCCCGTGTGTGTGATGCAGAGAAAGGAATATAAAAATAGTCTACCTCAGGAGGCTATCCAAGGCCAACCGATAAGCTCACGTGGAGCCAGACTGAGAGGAACAGCTCGCTTAGCCTGCTGTTGTATTGAGTTCAGCCAGCTTAAAGCAATTTCCCTCCCACCATGCACAATTACACAAATAGTTAATAGGAAAAGTAAACAAATTGAACATTTAACAGTCTGGTGGCCCCATTTTTTGTTGTTTTTTAAACAAGTACCACAGAATTTCTCTTAGAAGAGTTCACTCGTTCTTTGGAAGAAAGTATTGAGGATGAACTGACCCAGTAAGACAAATTGCACACAGCTCAGACAGCCCTCCGTGTGGCCAATGCATCCACCAGGTGGCAGGCTTTACGATTCCTAACCCTGTTGGCGGAAAATGTCGTTTTTCTATTTGTTTACCATTTTCGTTGTCATTAATGCTCCTGGTGAAATATTTGGAGTCTGTATCTTCTGTATCTGTAATTCCTCCTTAGGGAAATTCTCTTAGTGTATTTACGTCAGTCAAGCAAACGGTCCCCTGGAACAAGTCACATATAGAAACAAGGAAGAGAAAACCAGAGCTGGCTTTTATAGGGGAAGGGAACATTTGTAGAGAGCTCAGTGATGTGCTCTGATTTAAAAACCGTGGTCATAACTATTTTCTGATGAGTATGCTTATCATTTATGTTTATTTCTTAAAATGTTTATGCTATTTTTATATCTCTTCATTTTCTTTTTGGCAGTCTGATGTGTTGATCATTCCCTATATTAATCCAGTACCTGGTTCCCTCACCACCACCCACTAAGGATAAGCCATAATCTGTGGGGAGTAAGAGAGGTGAAGGACCAGGGTGTGCCATGCCCATGATGAGTGGCACAGACAATAAGGGTCAGAGAGCCAGAGCTCTTCTGCTAGGCTCTGTGACCTTGGGAAGAAGAAACCCCAGTGTCCCTGAATCTATTTTCCCCATCTTTCATGCAAGGATAACGATTCTTTCCCACCTCATCAGGTGCAATGGTAAAATATTGTAAAATATTTACATTATTATATACAAATATATGTTGTATAGAATATATTAAGTATGTATAACTTAAATATAGGATAGGTATAATATGTATAATTAGCATATATTAAATATGTACAAATATTTATTGTAAAATATTTACATTATTTGTAAAAAAATAAAACAGCCCTCCTGGCGTGGTGGGAAAATAAAGCAAGAGAATATATGTGAAAAACACTTTAATGCTCAAGACGCACTTTAAAAAGGCTGCATGGCATTGTTAACTGCTTGTAGATAAAGATAGGAAAGGTGATGGCGAATTATGTTAGGAAGGGTAGAACTGGACTCAGGTTCAGTGACTCACATACTAGGAGAGCCTCAGTGGTCACGAAGGCTCTCTGTCCTGTCTGTATGTGAATATGGAAAAGGGTTGAAAGAATGGCAGTGAAAGATGAACTCCAGCCATCCTGGTTGCTCTTTTCGTTCACCTAAGGCATGCAGGACAGACTCCTATTTTCGCAGGACCTCCTGCAATTGTGAAGGGAAGATCCTGTTCTAAACAACCTGCATTGGTAGGCCTTTCATACATAGAAGCTGAACGCTCTGTGGAAACAAGAAATAGTCAGTCAGTCTTTACCATCAGATAAAGAGTTATTCTTAAAGTTTTGGCATTTGCATGCAGAACATATAGTTTAGTCTTTCAGAATAATTTTTTTTTCCTTTTGTTTCAGTTCAAATCCTATATATATACACATATACATATATATGTATGTATGTATATATACATATGTGTATACATGTATGTATACATATATATACACATGCATATATATATGTATATATTTACAATTAGGACATTAGGTATGGGAATACATGTCTTAAATGTACAAAGAACTCTACAAAGCATTGCTCATTCTAAATGGATATAAGACCTGGACAGATTATCTCCTGAAGAGATAGAAATGACCAAAATAAATGAGACACCATTAAAGAAGGAAGATGAAAACTTGATACAGCTTATTTGTATCAGGAAATTTGTTTAATGTTAATATTCAGTTCTGACAAACCTGTGGTAAGAAATGTATTTATGGACATACTTGAGTAGCTCAGTCAGTTAAGCGTCTGACTATCTCTCAAATAAATCTGAAGAAAAAAAACAGGTATATATGTGCTACCCACAAATATACCTGTTGATGTAAACTTTCTGGAAAATAGTGTATTAGTTTGTACCAAGAGTCTTTAAAAAGTTTGGAAAGACCCTTTGATTTGCTGCATTGACTCTAATTATGTAATCTAAGGAAAATGACAGAGATTAAAACAAGTGATTTATAGATAGGGGTATTTATGACAACTCTTAAAAGAATTGAAAAGTAGAAAAGTATGGAAATAAGTTTTGATTCACCCATCTCGTGGAATATTATTTATACAGCCAATAAAAATTATGTTCTCAATGAACATTCAATGATGCAGGGAATGTTTTCCAAGTTACATAATGTGAGATGGAAAAACAACATAAAGCTAAATATTAGATTAACTAAGATTAAAATCATTTCTGAAGTATGTCCGTATACGTGCATAATTTATACATACCCGAAAAGAGATCAAGAAATATGCTGAAATATTATCAGTGTTAGCTGAGTGATAGGTTTCTCCGTGATTTTTATTTTTACTTATACTCTACAATTACTTCTTATAATATCATGTATTATTTCCCAAATTGGAGCGGCGGAGTAGATGTTAACATGAAAGCAGTCAGTCCTCCTTGGTTGAGTCCCCTGACCCCACCATACTCAACTCTCCTATCACTTAGAGCTGAACTGCTAGATGTTTCCCAGGCATAGGCCTTTGAAAAGAGCCTTCTCCTTATACTTCTTGTCTTTTCGAGGTAATCAGGGCCATCTGTGGCTTTGAAAGGGTATGTTTCTCCCCCAATTATTAAGAAATTCAAGAAGAAGTTATTGATGTGGGAGTGAAGGGAATTAGTCCTACCATCTGCCCTTGGCACCCCTCAGCCCAGCTTCTGACTCCACTGTCCTCTCTAACCTCAGGGCCTTCCCAGCAAGCCCTGTTCCAGCAGTGAATAAAATACCCAGAAATCCACCAGGAGTTACCCCCCTATGCATGACCCAGTTAAAGAGAGGCTGTTTTATACTCACTGGCATCAACTTTCCAGTTCTGCAAGCTGACAAGTCTTAGGGTGACAGGAAAGAAATCTTTTAAAATATTTAAAAATAAAAGTCTCTTTCAGTTTTCCTAGTCTATGATTTCTAGGTCAAAGGAAAAACACAAAAAGGAGAAAAAAGTAAAATAAATCAACCAAGAACAGATAGCCCCTGGGCACATTTATACTCCATACCTATGGATGAAGGTAACTTATTTATAGAGCACTTTTCACGTGTCACACTTGGTGCTAAAGCCTTTCTTAACTCCATCCTGTGGAGTCCTCACATGAGCCCCTGTGAGATAGGTCTGACTCCGCTGGTAAATAGGGCAGGTGTTTGAGGCCCAGAAAGGAGAAGCAACCTCCTGCAGTCACAGGATTCAGATTTGAACTCGCATCTGTGGAGTCCAGACCCTGCCCTCTTAAAGCAACCTGTCATTTTGCTGTCTACCCTTTGTATTCTATTAGGATGTCCCTGCTTTATTAAAAGGTTACTTAGAAATGGAAGGCTTTTGTACGTATGTCTTTAGGTATCTTTATTTGTCTTTGAATCTCCTAGCCCAGTTCCAAATTTTGTTTCCTCCCAGAATTTCCCTTTAATACCACCCCACTTTTTTTTATAGAGTGGAAATAAGGTGTCAGTCACTACTACCCCGTTTGAAAACACATCAATCAAAACGGGACCAGCCAGGAGAAACAGCTATAAGAGCCGGATGGTGAGGCGGAGCAAGAAATCTAAGAAAAAAGAAAGTCTAGAAAGGTTAGTTAAAGCAGTATTTTTGCGATTTTGGTATATACCCTTGTTGGAGGAAAGTTACTCCTTACCTAATTTAAACACTTCTGTGTGAGAAAGATCCATTGCTCTGTGAGAAATTTCGTGCTGTGGTTCAGATATTTGTACATTAAAGTTCATATTCATAATAGCATTATTTTTCACAATGAAAAGATTTACAGAGTTACATTGTAGGAGAATTCAGATTGGGGTTTTTTTTGTTGTTATTTTGTTTTTTTTTTTTACTGTGTGAGTACCATGAAAAGCCATTTACTGTTTCTTAAGCCTCTAGAATTCATTTCAGGTGAGTTGGATTTAAGGCGTTGGATCTTCAGGCAGTTTTTAGCATTAAATCTACATTTAATAATAGCCTTTACATTACCTGAAAACATACAATTTTTTAAATGGCAGATATTTGGAAATAACTATATCTTAAAAGCATCCAAGTAAGCCTAAAAATAAAGAGGTTTTGTTTTACTGGTTGAAGATCTAACTGGGGTACACATTTGCAATCTGGGAGGCACTGGGAGTGTTTTTGTGCTCTCTGCACACTGGCAAGCTTCGTGTATGTGCTTGCCGTGGGGACATTTCTCTGGATGGGCTCCCTGCGTGATGTCCCAGCAATATCCCTCCTTTGCCTACTTAGATCTAATGTGTCTGATTGTATTAAGAGGATTTTTAGTGATAGAAATGTGGGAAAATAAGCAAATGAAAAAAGAATGCTTATTAATTCCAGGAAAGACAAAAGCATACAGGAAAGGAAATGGAATCATGCTTTGCCTAGCCCAGCTGTGGACAGTATTTATAATATAAAAATAGAGAGGAAAAAAGACCACCCTTTTCTCTAACTGAAAGTTTTGGTTTAGCTGTAGAGGGAAGAATAGAAAAAGGGAAGTGTATTTGGTCAGAAGGCGGAAGGGTGCTTGGGGAGGAGCTTAATCCTCATCTTCTGTGCTGGGAAGTCAATAGATAGTTTCTAAAACTGAAAAACGAAAACATGGTATAAAGAGATTCTGTAGCAATGTGCAGACAGATAGAAGAAACAGCTCAAGGAGTAGAAAGTGGTTTCTCAGCCAAGTGCGCCAAGGACAGAGTAGCACAGTTGCTGTTCTTCATTATGAACTGTGTAAGATGATGTCCTTATTTAACCCAACTACATTTATTGCTTTGATTAAAATTAAACACACCAGTTCTGAGATGTGTAGTCTATTAGATATTAGATAAATGAGTGATTTCTATATTTTTTTAATGTGTGCTTTGTATCTAGATTGTGCTTTAAGTTAGACAGAACACACTTTTTCCAAGGGGTAGCAGTGTTTAAACTTGTGCTTAAGCTCACTGTGGGGGTGAGTGAGGCTTGCATAATGGCAAAGGTAAAAGGAACTTTCTAGAGCCACTTTCATTTCTAAGCCATCAGAAGCTTTTTTTTTTCTTGCTTTAAGATACGCTTTTTGAGCACTAAATACACATTTGCTTCTGCTGCAGCATAGCGTCTGGTGCCCTGCTGACACGATAAGCTTCAGTTTACCTTTCTCACTTTTTCTATGTTAATGTGCAGCCTACATTGTCATTAGGAATTTTCAAGAGCCCACTGTGGTATAAGCACCACAAACAGCCCCTCCTAGATAAAGCCGCTGCCCAGCATATCACCATTACAGAATTCTGTATCTAAGATAATGGTTTTTCTTTCAGAGATTTACGTGGTTTTACCTCTTAATTAAATTGTGTTATTGTATCTGAGGGTACATGCTCAGAAGCTTTCAGGTCAAGAACGCCCTCCTCATAAACCTGACAAATAAAGAAATGAGTAAATGTCGCATGTATTTTATATTTTTCCTTTTTTCTCAGCTCTGCCTGAAGTATTGGAGAATTGGGAGAGCTTCCACTGTATACTATCAAAGACTCTTCCTTTCTAAGTCATAAGGTTTTTAACTTGAAAGTGGGAACCTGCACCTTAGGGTAGGATCTGCCCCGGGACCGCTGTCCCTGCTGCTGAGGTGTGAACTGACTACACAGGTGTTGCGGGGGACGGGGAGGCCCCAAATGTAGAATCTAATCTGTTGTCTCCTGTTTTCACTCCAGGAGAAGATCCCTTTTCAAAAAACTAGCCAAGCAGCCTTCTCCTTTGCTCCACACCAGCCGAAGTTTCTCCTGCTTGAACCGGTCCCTGTCATCAGGGGAGAGCCTCCCGGGTTCCCCCACACACAGCTTGTCTCCCCGGTCCCCCACGCCTAGCTATCGCTCCACCCCCGACTTCCCATCAGGTGAGCTAGTCTCCTGGCCCACACAGCAAGGGAGAGTTGAGAGGTGGTCAGAATCACCCTGTGAGCTCCTGAGGGACAGGAGGCTTATTCCAGTTTAATGAAAGATGGTTGAGGATGTAGATGGTAGTGAACAGGATTTATAGGGCAGTTGTGAGATGTGGTTGTTTAGAACATTAAGGCAGGAAGTACTGGGTTGTACCCTGGTGTGAGGAAGATGTATCTGAAAAGCATGTATTCATTAGAGTTAAATGCTGAGACAATTTGCTGACCTTTATCTGAGCTGATCGAAAAGAGTTTGGGTTGGAAGCATGGAAAGAAAAGGGAAGGAGTCCATTGCTCATGGCTTTCTGTTTTCTACCCACAGGTACTAATTCTTCCCAGAGCAGCTCCCCAAGCTCTAGTGCCCCCAATTCCCCAGCAGGGTCAGGACACATCCGACCCAGTACCCTTCATGGCCTGGCCCCCAAACTCAGCGGACAGCGCTACCGGTCAGGAAGGCGCAAGTCAGCTGGTAGCATCCCCCTCTCCCCACTGGCCAGGACCCCCTCTCCAACGCCACAACCCACCTCCCCCCAGCGGTCACCATCCCCTCTGTTGGGACACTCGCTTGGCAATTCCAAGATCGCTCAAGCCTTCCCCAGCAAAATGCACTCCCCGCCCACCATCGTCAGACATATCGTGAGGCCAAAAAGCGCAGAGCCCCCAAGGTCCCCGCTGCTCAAGCGCGTGCAGTCGGAGGAGAAGCTCTCCCCCTCCTATGGTAGTGACAAAAAACACCTGTGTTCCCGCAAGCACAGCCTAGAGGTGACCCAGGAGGAAGTGCAGCGGGAACAGCCTCAGCGGGAAGTGACCTTGCAGAGCTTGGAGGAGAACGTGTGTGACGCGCCCTCACTCAGCCGCGCCAGGCCCGTTGAGCAAGGCTGCCTGAAGCGCCCTGTCTCCCGGAAGCTGGGGAGACAGGAGTCTGTGGACGAGCTAGACCGAGAGAAGCTGAAGGCCAAGGTGGTAGTGAAGAAACCGGATGGGTTCCTGGAGAAACAGGAACCCCACCAGAAATCCCATGGACTTGGTAGTGATTTAGAAAACCTCTCGACTTTGAGGCTGGAAGAGAGAGAGAAGAAAATATACCCAAAGGCTTTAGAAAGGTCAAACCATTTTGAAAACAAAGGGGCCTTGCAGGAGACCCAGTCCCTGGGCAGTCTACTGAAGGGGGCTCTTCACAAGCAGGCCAGCATTCGGGTCAGCGAGGGGGTGACCTCAGAAGGGGCAGCAGTGGGCCATGTCCTGGCACCCGGGGACCACAGCCAGGGCATCTGTGACTTCAAGCGCACCTCTGCTGCCAGCACCCTCCAGGACAGTCTCTGTCACTCCACAGACAGGTCCAGCTCCATGAAGGGGGAGAACGTGGAGAAGGCCTCCCAGGCCAAGGATTGTCTCCGATGTGAGAAGTTAGACAGCAAACTGGCCAACATCGATTACCTCCGAAAGAAAGTGTCACTTGAAGACAAAGATGACAGCCCGTGCTCTGTGCTCAAGCCCAAGATGACCTCTAGTGCCCACGAAAGCCTGCCTGGGAACCCAGTCCGGGCTGTGGGTGGACAGCAGGAGGCCCTGCCAGCCGCTGAGAGCCGAGCGTTCATCAGCAGTGCCCACCCGGCTCAGATCAGTGCTGTTTCTTTTGTCCCTCTCAAGGCCCTCGCCAGCCGGGTGGATGGTGGAGGGGAAAAGCCGGGCTTGGTCGCTCCTGAGTCACCTGTCCGCAAAAGCCCCTCTGAGTATAAGATGGAAGGTAGGTCCGTGTCCTGCCTGAAGCCAATTGAGGGCACTTTGGATATTGCGCTCCTGTCTGGACCTCAGGCCTCCAAGACAGAGCTGCCATCCCCGGAGCCTGCACAGAGCCCCAGCCCAGCCAGCGATGTGGGGCCCTCTGTGCCACCAGCTCTCCCCAGCGGCGGGGGCATGAAGGGTGACACAGTGGGTCAGAGGGAGCCTTCCCCTGCCAGCTTCAGGATGAGTAAGTCCTACCTGCTGGAGTCCCGGTTCCCATCCTCTAGCCGGGCTCTCCAGAATTCACCAGCAGCTTCCTTGCCTGAGCCAGACCTAAAGCGGGACAGGAAAGCTTCCCATGCTGCCAGGAGCCCAGTGACGGTCATGGAAAGCAATCCCCAGCAGAAGGAGGGGGGCCCCAGCAAACACCAAGACCACAGCCCTGACATTAAACTCCTCCCCTTCCTGGGGCAGAACCCCCACAGCACCGACCCATCCAGGTCCCGCAGCCTGCTGCCCCCTGAAAATACCCCCTCGAGAGAGAAGCTGAGCATGAAGGAATCTTCTGAAAGGGGCCCTTCCGCAGCCAGAAGCGAGCGGTCTGCTGTGAGGGTTGACTCCCAAAGAGACCCCTCCACCGAGCTGTGTCCTCCAGAAGCTGCTAAAACCCGTGAGGATTCCAGAAACCTCCCCTCTGGGGGAAGGCCCCGCCCTGACTGCTACACACAGCCCCACCCCACAGACAAAGCATGGGGGCCTTGCGGCAAAGCAAGCCCCAGAGATGGCCGAGTGGAGGTGAGGGAGCTGGGCAGAGGAAAAGGAGGCACGGAGCCCCAGCCAGAAGCCCCTCCTGCCTGGCGGTCCCAGCCGCCACCCAGCCCTGAGAATGGGAAAGGAGACCTCCTCTCTGGTTTCCCCGTCTTGCCGAGAGACAGTCCCAAGGAGCTGGAAGGGAAGGAACAGCCTCCGCAGAAACATGTCAGCGGTAGCTCTCAGCCAGTCCCAGTCACCAAAGAACTGCACGGCCTGGCGGCTCGGCCACACAGCAGCTCTCTGAGCCACGGCTCAGGCGGAGAGCCCGGGGGCAAGCCCTGTGCTGCAGAACCCGGCCTGGGCCTCCAGGGCCTTCCCAAGCCGACCACAGCGCACAGTGAAAGCAGCAGCCACAAGCCCAGGCCTGGCCCTGACCCGAGCCCTCCAAAGTCGAAGCACCCAGACAGGGCCCTCTCCTCCCAGAAGCCAAGCGGTGGGCCTGCAGTGGGCAGAGAACCTGGTTCTCAGCCCCCTGTTGGCCCCAGCCGAGAGGGGAAGGGCTGCATCAAGGGCGTCTTGGATGTGTTCCCTGCCCTCCCAGGCTCCCAGAACACAGCTAGCGATGCGATGGGCCAGGGAGGAGGCAGACCCTCAGTCCCACTGCAGGCCGAAGGGGGTCTTCTAGACACCAGGCTGAAACCCGCCAGTGGTGGGCATCCCCCGGAGGGGCTAGAGAAGCCCACGCTCCTGCCATGGCAAGGATGCCCAGGAGGTGACGAGTTGGTAGACCAGAAACCCGCCACTGTCAGTGAAAAGCAAAACCTGTCTCCAAAGCACCCCAAACCATCCACTGTGAAAGACTGCCCACCTCTGTGCAAACAGACAGACGCGAGTCCAAGTTCACCGGCCGCCACTACCACTGACAGGAAGTCTGAGGGCAAGAAATGCACTGAAGCACTTTATGTCGCCACAGAGAGTGGGAAGCCTGAGGCCAGCCTTCCCCTGGCACCCGGCGAGGCCAGGCCAAAAGGCACAGAGAGGCCAGCAGCTGCTGTTGGGAAGGGCTTGCCAGAGGCCAAGGGGAAAGGGCTGAGTGCCCAGAAACCACTGAGTGAGGCGGGCAAGCCCAGTGGCATGAAGCGGTCACCCTCGGCCACTGGGCAGAGCTCTTTGCGATCCACTGCCCTCCCGGAGAAGTCTCTGAGTTACTCTTCCAGCTTTCCTGAAGCCAGACCGGGGGCACGAGAGGCCACCACGAGTGGCAGTGACGCGTCTTCCACCAAGGCTGGCGGGGCTGCGGCTAAGGCCCTGCCTGGGGGGGATGGCAGAACCCACATGACCAAGAGTGACTCCTTGCCATCTTTTCGGAGCCCCACCGTCACTCTGGAATTGCACCACCCTGGCCCGAGTGTGGCGGGAGGTGCCGGCCACCGGGACAGGGCCCTGTCAGTAACTGCCCCCGCAGGAGAAACCAAAGGGAAAGAGCCTGTTCCAACCCAGCCCCCTCAGACTCGGAAACAGAACCCGGGCAGAGAAGTCACCAAGGCGTCCCCAGCTCCAAACCCTGACCGGCCCATCGCCCTTTCTTCCGAGAAGGACTTTGTGGTCCGGCAGAGGCGGGGGAAAGAGAGTGTGCGTAGCAGCCCTCACAAAAAGGCCTCATAGTGGGGCAGGCCTCAGGCCGGACTGGGGAGACCCGACCTGAATGTGTACCTGAGTCTTGACTACCTTTCGAAACCAGCACTGTGTGGCAACGCCCGCCGGGCAGAGCCTGGAGCCTCACTGCGGATGGACGGGGAGAGGGAGAGAAAGTCGGAAAGAAAGAGGGGACCTTCTTCCAATTGCCTTCCCGATCGTTACCGGTAAAACTGTTACCAGATAGTGTTTGTACAAACAACAACGGAATAACCTTTACAGTTGAGGGTTGCTGAGGAAAAAGATTTTCTCTGTAAATACCTAGCGATGTGTTTGGTTTGGGACTGAGAGTCGGTACCTTGCTGCTGTGATTGCGTTGTTTACCACAGCTTTGTTTTGTTTGTTTTTTTTTCCCAGTTAAGATTTTTACTTTACCACTTATCATAACGTAGTAATGAAGCAAAACGGTTAAAACTGGGTGTATTGAAAAGTAGAGCTACGCTCCTATTCGTGTACATACGCACCCACCCACATGTTTTGGTCTGTGGTTTAAGAGAATATTTCAAGGCTACATTTTTCTAAGTTAAAGCATTCTAAGTAGAGTTAAAGGTGGAAGAAAGTCCTAGATACAGTAGATCGTGAGTTTTTGTGTGTACTTTTCAGGAGAGATTTTGGTAGTACTGTATCTAGATACCTGTGTTTCCAGATCCGAAAGCAAGAACTACTCTAATCACCGCATTTGGAAGCTTTCCTCCGTTAGGAATGGCCAGAACCAAGGGAGCTAACCATTGTCACTGCACAGCCATCCCAGTGGACGTTCTGATCCTGGGTCCAACTATCTGAAAGGCCAGTTGTCCTTGTCTGTGAGTGTGTGTGTGGGGTCTTCACCCTCACTGGAGTGCGGGCTATAAACACACGTCAACTTTATTGCTCTTACTTTCCCTTCTTTTTCTTTCCACACTCTTAAACTCAGGCCTTTATGCTATGAGTCACTAGTCCAAGAAGCACACATTTCGTAGGACTTTTGCACCAGCCCTGCTCTTGAACAAAAAGGAAAATTACTGGCCGCACATGAATCTGACAGTGCTTAAATCGAGTAAGAAGGATCAGGCATTGGAAGAGGTTTTAAATTTTGCTTTTTTGAGGGGAAAAAGGGGGTGGATTTTGGCATCATAGCATATATATTAATGAATAATCAGGACATCAGATACATTTTAATACATAGCTGGGGCCTTATGTTGTAGATGAAGCTTGCTGTTTTTAGCAAGTTCCTGGGTTTCACATTCATTTCTGATGCATCGAGTAGCTCCATACATTACATAACACGATCTCTTTATTTGTATGCAAAAAAAAAATAAATAAAATACTGTATTAATAAAAAGCAGCATTTTTTTTAATAAAAAAAAAAGACTCGGTGGAGCTATTTGGTGCTTGAATGTGTCCTTTTTACTTTTGCTAAGCCTTATTTAAATTTTGTATACCATGGAATATGTAGAATTTGTCAAATCATTTTAGTGCTGAGGGGGTTTTTTGTTTGTTTTCGTTGCAGTTGTCCTGGTGGCTTGTTTTGTATTGTAAGACGACACTTGCTGACATAAATACTAAAGGCACTAAGAGAAAATACACACAGATAAGTCTTTATAAGATGTTTGGGATCCATAGCAGGATTTTTTTTGTTTTGTTTTTCAAGAGAAAAAAATATTACCGATAAATACTAATTCAGCACCCAAACCCCCTCGGATGTCTTAGTATCTTCAAGCTATAAAATTGTTCCTCTAAGCACAGCCTCTGGATTGTAAATTATTTAGCGAGGCTGTAAACCCTGCTCCAAAAACAAAGGCATAACTTAACTGACTGCTTGGTTGTCCTTCATTGTACAATGAGATGGGAATGGAAAAAAATAAATAAAAATTAAAAAGTCTCCTCCTTGCCCCTGATTTTTTTTCCCCATGTAGTTTCAGCTCTTCCCCATCGCTCTGTTGTGAAATTGTAGAAGAAATAAGTATTGTAAAAGAACTCAAATGGGTTTCCAAAGTGGTCTCAACATTTATAATTCATATCTGTGTTTGGTGGTTGTCATAACCCAGTCTTCTGTATCCAGACACCTCGACAAATCTATCGGGGAGGTATTTCGTGGTTTACAGCCTTTGCTTTTTAACTGTCCAGTTTCCTTTAAAGCACAACTAGCTGCTCGTTTACAAATGATATTTTTATGTATATTTTGTATAGTGTATTATCATTTTTGCCAAATACGTTTTTGCATTTTGGATGAGTAAAGAGTACTTCAGGTTGCATTCATGTAATACCTGTTTGTTGTTGTAAACCTCTCCAATCAGCTGGTAGGAATTCTCCTGTGTTCTCTCCGGTCAGTCTCCTGTGATTGTAAGATGTGCTCCTCGGTAGAACTCCCAGCTGTGGGTTGACCAGCTTCAAAGTCTGTTAGGATCTGTGCAATAAAGTGTTTGCAGTCTTATTTTCTCTAAGAAGTTCCCTATGGATGTCCTAATTGTTGTATATTGAACAAATATTTATACTTATGCAGTTGCATAACATTGAAATAAAAATTTAGCATGAAAAGATAATGACTAATATGTTCTTTCCTTATGTGTATACATACATCTCTAAAATGTTACTGAATATAACTGTATATTATGGAAGTATGCAGCTTTACAGATGGCTTTTATGGAGGGGAATGGTTTACTAATTTTTTTAAATTTTATTTACTTGAGGAGGGGGAGAGAGCAAGAACAAACAGGCGGAGAGGCAGAGGGAGGGGGAGATGCAGACTCCCCACTGAGCAGGGAGCCTAATGCAGGACTTGATCCCAGGACCCTGAGATCATGACCTGAGCCAATACTTTCTTCTTAAAGATTAAGTCTTCCTATAACGCCTTACTATGTTTTCTACCAACCTTATTCCTTGCCTGCAGAACTTGACAGCTTCCACACCACAGTCACTGTCTCCATACTGTCTCCTTCTCAGGGACACCAGCTCCTTCAGTTCTCCAGAAACCTTCCTCCATCAATTGCATTTTGCCCTGTCTTCGTTCATTTCCTCTCTTCCTTTCTCCCTCCTCGTAATCAAAGCCATTGGAAACCACCAGAAATGAAAGAAGCAGCCTAACATTTATTGTATATGTAGGTGTGTGTGTGTGCATGCATAGTGCTGGGCAAGATACTTTTCATCTTCCATGTCATTTGAGCCCCAACCCAGATGGTAGCAGCATCCCTATTTTACAGATGAGGAAATAGCCCCAGATGGATGATGTCATTCACTTAATATACACGCTGTGAAGAGAGTCTATATTAGCATCCAGGTTTTTTTTGTTTGTTGTTGTTGTTGTTGTTGTTTTTCCTGGCTCTAAAGCTCTAGACCTTTCTAAACATCTCCAGGTGTCATGTGGTTGCATTCAGGTCTGGGCCCCTCTGTGAATGCTCGAAGCCATCTTACTGTCTGTTTACATGCAGAAAAATCATATGGGGCAAAATTACATGTTTGGTGATTGGTGGGAGACCTCAAGCCAAGGCAGCTAATCGTTCTCTGTAATAGGGCTCCTTTATTAATTCTAATTAATCAGTTGGCAATTTCCCATCTAGCATTTTCGGTTCGTAGCACAAAAGTGTAACATGAAGAAGTATAGCTTAATATTAACTACAGAAATCTGCTTCCTTCTATACAGGCCAGTAATGAAGCAACTCAAGGGTAGGGCAGCTTTCTAAATTTAATTTCCCACCTACCAGTATGGTTTTAACCCATTCTAAAAGCAGTGATTTGTGTTAGTCCTCTTTTTTTCTAGGTCTGTGCCCATGAATATTCTCCACATCTTGTCCATCTACAAAAGCTAGAAATGACCATGGCTTTGTTGAACCTCGGGTTCATTACTTTTTGCCTATTGAAAGTCAGTCAGTCTGGCTCAGATTCAAGTTCTCTGGCCGTTTAGACTCCTTGGGCCACAGGCTGGGATCTTAGCACCAGTCCTCAAGGAAAAAAACATGTAACAACATCCCACTGATTTCTGGAACCGTGCCTTCCAAAAGCTCCCAAACTTGACTTCCCTTTGTCCTCCGAGATGTGCCAGTCAAGTCTGTTCTGATGTTGAGAAAAGAAAGATCTGCTGTCTATGGTTACTAGGTCTTGCCGCACACAGCTTTGCAGAACGTCTATTACTACGGTGCAGCTGAAAGCCTGTAACAAATGCTCAGCTCCTGTTTCATTAACACTGCCTGGAGACGGCTGTCAGTAGCCAGGAGGTGAAGGATGAAGATGTTCGTGGGGCCTGAAGCAAGCATGTTGCGTTGACTGGGGCTTCATATGTCAGCCTGCCAACACCATAACCTCCAGCCCTAACCTGTCTAAAGAAAAATCCTTTGCCTGAAAATTCTGTCCCCTCTGGAATACATACACCATGTTACACAGTGCCATGAAGTGCCGTTCCCAGGCTGGAGACAGATTGACTCTTTGGGGCACTAGGGTGATTCCTGCAGATACCTGCCCACATCCTTCAGGGTGGTGCTGGCCTGTAGTGCGAGCCCCAGCTCCTCAGCCCCCTGCTCTGTCCACACGGGCATCCTTAGAACAACTATGGCTCCCTGACTTCAAGGAAACACATAGAGCCTTAGGAAAAGGCTGCCTCATTTTCCAGTTCCTGTAAATTCTCACAACCCGTGACCTCTCTATTCTTCTTGCCCTTGTTTGTAGAAACAAAAGAAGTTTTTCTTCAATGACAAAACTCCTTTTCCGTGCCTAACATGGTCATAGGAGGCAGATTCGAAGTACAGAGATGAAGAAAAAGGGATTGCTGCGATCCTACCAGGTGTTCTGTCATTCTTCAATTTATATAGGTTTTTAATTTTTTTCAAAAAACTTAAGTAACAGGGGACATGATGTTGGCTGACCTCCCTGGTTGAGTATTAAATCACAAATATATTTCAATATCTATAAATACGCTTCTGCAATATTGTTCACAATGGCTGCATGGCATTTCATTTTATGGGCGTGCCGTATTGCTTTCCTTCATGGCAGAGAGCCTCAGATGCAGACGATTGAGGTCGTCTTGCTCTCCAGTTCTCAGCCAGTTTATGCCAGAGTGCATTGACTCTATCCCTACACTTCTTTCCACCCACCAGGCAGCCTTGTGAATTAAATGGTTTATCTTCTTGTGTTCTTACAAAACAGGTATGGTTTTGTATCCATGTATTTTTAATGTCTAAAAATGATTGTGTTAATGTGTCATTTGGGCTTTGTTTTTTTCCCATCAAGCTCTCTGGTTCACAAACTGGCCCCTGTCCCAGAAGAGGAAGGAGAGGCAGAAGGAAGAGGCAGGTCAGTCCAGGTTGGTAGGTGGCAGGTTTAATAAACAAGGAAACTTGCATTTGAGGCTTGTGTTGGGTGACCACAGACAGGTAGATCTCTGCGCCCATGTGCCAGAATCTTTAAAGTTTATACAGACCTCTTAATAGGGTTCAGGTACATGTACCGTCCAGATCAACAGCACGTGGCTCCCTGCAGACTGCTCCTTCAAACCAGCTCGCATTGTGGGAATGGTGGGTAGAATGTCCATTCCAAGAATGGGAGGGCGTGTGGAGCCTCTGATGGCGCAGGTACAGCTCATGGGTCAACCAGTAGTCATGTCCTATGGATGACCTCCTCTAATACCGTGTGTTTCAGGTTCCAATACATGGCCATAGCTATATCTAACACTGTTCCTGATGACTGTATAATACCCATGGTGGGAATCTTCCACATGTACCTACCCATTCTCCTGGTAATGAACACTCACACTGCTTTGAACATCCTCCTCCATAAGTAATGCCGCACTAAATATTGTGGAAATGTGAGATTTTCTTGGGAAATACACCCTCGCAGAATGTGTGGGTCACATATTTAACTTGACTAATTGTTGTCACAGGGTTCTTGAATGGCTTCACCCATCTATGTCCATAAGCCATGCACATAGTTCCTATAACCCCACATCCCTACTGATGCTATTATTCAGCTCTTTTTGCTTGGCTAATAGATATAAACCTTTATCTCATTTTAAGTTGTATTTCTCTAACTCCTAGTCATACCAACAAGTTTCCAATGTTCCTATCCCACCCAAGAATGTAGAACATCTCCCAGTTTGTTCACATCATCTGATTTATTAAGTCATTTATCTATTATTGAATATTTAGGTTGTTTCCAAAGATAAGAGAAAGCAAAAAAGGGAGAACCAAGCTGTAGAACGAACATACAAGGAAAAGGAGGAGATGGATGGATACTCTGTTGGCCCCTGTCCTCTGCCAACTTTTGTGGGATCTAATGCCTTGTCTTGAACAGTCACATGCTTAGAGAAATCTCAACTTGGGGAGATGAGAGTTCAGTGAAATTCCCTGTTTAATTTTTCATGAACAGTAATGACTTTTTAAAATAATCTGTAGATTAGTTCTTTCTTTTCTCAAGACCAGCATTATTGAATAAATGGTGTCATGCTGTAAGTAGAAGGGATGGAATGGGAGTGCAGGTGGAGGGTAGTAGGGGTGGAGTACCAGAGTTTAGCAACGGAGTCTTGTGGCCTGACAATTGTAGCAAGAAAATAATAGGTTGCATGCCCTGGGATGTCTCACTCTTGGATTTGAAGGCTCCTTAGTCCCTTATTCCCATTATGTTACAAAATTTCCTTTTGGAGAACCTTGAGCAGTTCTTCAATTCATTTGATTCATGGAGCCTAACATGTGACTCAGCTCTTTATTGATGAATGTAAGATTAGGGAAGGATATTTTGCATGCGTGAAATCATTTGGCCTAGAGTCTAGAGCCAAACCCAGTCTAACACAATTCCAACATCTAGGGGTTAGGCAGAGGAATCTGTTTGGTAAGTAATCCCCCAGATGATTCTGGCCATAAACCAGTATCTGGGAGCCACACCTGGCTGGCCCATTCTTTGAAGCCTTCAAGCTAACCTCACCTTCCCCCTATGAAACATTCTATAACTTTCTAGGCAATTGATTCTGGTTAAACACCCAGGATCCCCAGTTGTGACTTGCTTAGAACTCATGACATTCTTTCTTGCTATGTCTCAAGTTAACTTTTTCTTCAGCATTCAAGCGAGAAAACCATGGCAGCTGCCCCGTTTGCATCTTATACAAAAAATATTTAAAAGCCATTTATCTCGTACTTTGTAAACTTCAAAATTGCAAATGATACTAAGTGGGGAATTGGATGAGTAGGAATGAGATGAGAGTTTCCTGCCTGGGAATTCTACAGATACTGCCTGTGTTTGGGTCTGTGCTGTGTTTGGTTAGCAATGATGGCCCCTGGCTCACAGGAAAGGTATAATTTGCCACCAGACGGTGGGAGTTGCAGCTCACACAAAGAGTCCTCTGTGATGGAGGCCAGTAAGCTTTTATGGACTTCAATGCTATTTGCTTCAGTACACTTTGAAATGCAGGGTCAGCTCACTGAGCTACAACATGCAATAATAACACATTTTTATAGGAGTAGCTTGTCAGAGCAGTAACAACATGCGATACATAAAACCAATAAACACACCATGTCTTCAGATTCTATCCAGTAACCAGGATAAAGCAATAAAATTGACAGCAGCTATCAAAAAAGCTCCCTTTCTGACTTTGCAGGGTGAATTTACTGTTGCTTAAAACAGAGGAGCTGTCACAAAGCCTTAGATCAGCGTGCAGTTATGGAATAGCAAGTTGCATGACACGGAAGGGGCGCGTGCCTGATTTAGATGAAAGCAAGATGGG